AATGTATTTCACCAGCCAATTTTTTTGCTTCTCTGAATGTGAAAATTATCAGAGATCTACACAGTAAAGTTATACTCCTTTAAAATATCAGATTATCAATACGACTGTGAATCATTGGGTTTCTGTCCGTCAGCCAATCAGCTGCCTTATTACAGAAACTTCCACACATTACATAAGACCTACCAGCTTGTTGGGCAGTGGTAATGTCTGCCGGGGTTACTGGTTGATACTCCTTATAGTGTCTTCTGTATTTACCTTTCATAACCTTTTAGTTAATAAATTACAGTACAGTACAAGCATACATAACACATTATGGTGAATACAACTGTACAGTATCAGGTCTGGTTTTGTTCACTCCTTACCCTTGGTTATAGATGGAGGTTTTACAACACTTGTATACATTAAATCTGCCTCTAAAGACTAGAATATTATATTCTATTGTATTTTTCTAAAAAGAAATAAAAATTTACAATACACAAAGGAGTTCCCTTTATGGTATAAAATTTCATTATTCAAGATTAATACAAATAATTGTGAACACATTACATACTGTAGTATACTGGAAGGCTAATAGTGTATACATTACATTATTGATAATTAACTTCAGCACGAGTTACTATTTGTATATTAGACAAAAATCTAAAGTTCTGAGCTAAATAATCAGCTTCAAACTACAGTACACAAAATGTTACCCAGATTAGATAATGATAATATTATCTAAGTAGACATTAAAATTTTCTTCACGGGAACACAGTTTGTTACACACGAAACATGAATGATGTAAGGGCATGTTAACCTGAGATGGGGCAATAATTAAACCTGCTGAGAGGGTTCCATAGAAAAGATAAGCTTCACACCACTATTGTTTCCAGGTTAAGAATAGATCCGGCCTAAAAGCCATTAGAGAACCTCCAAATAACACTGATGAAACCTGAATTTACCATTTTATCCGCCCAATCATACACGTCTCTTTTTGCCGTGGTGCTATACGAGTTTTTTCACGTGGACACACATACTATTCTCAGCACCCAGTAGTTCCCAACATCCACCTGGCAGGATACTAGTCCACCTAAAGGCATTTCCACCATTGACAAGAGCACCTAACACTGTATTCATTGTTTGTCAAGTGTGTAAACAATTATGTCTTTCACTCTTGTTGGGGGACAAATTTTTCCTGATAATTTATGAAGTTTAAGGATAAATACAGTTGTTTTTATGATACAGTACTTCAGGAGAGAGTTCAGGGGTACAGAAATAGCCTTCAGACCCAATATATTCTGAATCTAGAAAATCACTGGTTCTAGGTAAACTGTGGTCATTGGTGTGTCTTGTAAAAGTTTGCTGCATTTTAAGACATAATCCCAAGAAACTTATATGATCATGTAGCGATGCCAAAACCAGGAAATATTAAATACCGTAATTACTATAAGATTTGACCCTAAGTGAAGTGGCTTGAAAAATAATGACGAATCAACCAATGGCGCCTAAATCAGATTGGTTGATTCGTCACTACCAATGGGAGCGCCACTGTAACACTATATACTGCCAGACATCAGGACACTTTCATTCAGAACTATTGAGATCTTTCATAGAATTAACAATAAGGAAAGGGTATATAATATGTTACCTTCATGACGGCAAACTAAAGCCATCAGAAGTAATTTACCGTACGGGGAAATGAGCCGTAAAAAAAATGTACCCTATCACTTTTTACTCTAATGCTGAAAGTGTATAATATATTCCTAAGTGAAACATTCCCTTTTAATACAGTAATTTATATACATACACAGGTAACTGATTAAGGAATGTAGTTTCACTCTCTAGTTGACAATATTACTCCCAGTATAGCAATTTACCCTGGTACACAGTATAACATCTTTGGGACATACTGTGTGTAGTAGTCCTGTCCAGTATGTAGGATGCAAGGGGCAAGGTGGAGTCAGTCATCATTCTCTACCATGTGCCTTGCATTACTCAGTATCTCTTATGTCTATAAATGATGAATAAGTACTTTGTGGAGACTTAAACACAGTACATACAACTTTTTGCAGCATATTTACACAGTGAAACTAAAATTCTGAGCACCAAAGTAGATATCTGAGAGAACTAGGGTAAGCTCTGAGTGTAGCTGTGTACAGTACAAGTGTTTCACTTTCCAAGAATCTGTTTATACATCATTTTTCCTGTACATTTACCTCCCTTGCCACCTTCACTTGCCCCACTGATGGTGAGTGTTATTTTAATATTAATTTTGTTTGTTTTAATGACACATTGTTTCTGTTACAGTGTACATACAGGTATGGTAAAGTATTTAAAATATTTATACTTAATTTACATTTTTGATATTTGCCTTACATTACAGCACAGAAAACCTTGGGTCAGGTCTTCACATAAAGTACAGTACTATATTAAGCAGGGTATGCCTGTGTATATATATATATATAAACTGTATATATAAAAGGTTACTGATTTATTTTTGGTTAAGATAATCTATGTACATATTTTACCTTAAGTACAAACTGTTTACTTGTGCATCATTTAAAAGGAATTTGTTACATCAAATTCCATCAAGAATTTAACCTAAAATATTCTTGTACAGGTAAGACAAGACAGTATTAACATTGTATAAAATGAAAAATCCCTCTGTACACAAGCTCATTACCATATTATTGGAGGTTATATATGTATGTGTGTGTTAGTAAATAGTGTTTTTGCCTATGTGTAGTGTGAGTATGTGTGTGTGTGCGTGTGTGAAATACCAAATTAGCTGTCATATTATATTGTGTGTGACTATACCCCACCTCCTCCCACCTCCTCTTCAACCATACATGACTAAACAAGCTGCCACACTATACTGTACACACACACATCACCTGACACCAGTTTACACTTCAACTTGTTCTATATACCAAGGGTGGTCAATTTCTTCCTCCTTACTACATGAGACAAATAACCAATCACGGTGAAGAGTGACTAAAACAGCCAATCATTACCAAGCAGTGAAAAATAATTAACCAATCACAGTGAAGAGTAACTAAAACAGCCAATCATGACCGAGGAGTAAAAAGTAAATAACCAATCACAGTGAAGAGTGACTAAAACAGCCAATCATGACTAAGAAGTAAAAAAATCAAATAACCAATCACACTGAAGAATGACTAAAAACAGCCAATCATAACCAAGAAAATAAAGAAAACCCAAATCACAACAGAAGAATAGTCGTCCATCCTTCCCTGGGCATTAAACATAACCTACCTAAGAAAATTATCAGTGTCGTAGAGTGATGTTTGTTGACTTACTCATTCTACTTAGTACACTTGGGTTTTCCCGCGGGAGAATTACGGTACAAACATTAACGTAAATATACACAGAGAACGGGGATATTTCAAGTCCTGTGCATCGTGGCCATACCTTGATGTTAAATTAGACACACAAACAACCTTAATAATGTTAAAATATAGTATATACTGTACCTTAATGTTAAATTAATAACCCGAACAACTTTACTTATGCACGTTAAAATCTAGCATACTTTGATGTTAAAATAAAAACACAAATGTTACCTCTCTAATCTGACCTCTCCAACGTTTACAATTTATCTAGCCCTAAACTCCCCCATGATTTAACCCAATATGTTGCCCTTCCATGCATACAAATACTGGGGGATCTGTAACTCGACTACACGTGTGCCTCGACTTACGAACATTCAGCTCACAAACCTTCAGAGATACGAACATAATCACTGGGGGGGGGGGGGTTTACCTGTCAGAGTTAGGGTTTAGTTAGGGGAGGGGGGGGTTTACCTGTCGGAGTTAGTGTTTTAATGTGGGTTAGACGGGATTATATAAGAAGAAAATGCCTAATATACCATATAATACCTAACGGGAAAAGAGTATGCCAAGTTATAAGGCTGTACTGTAGGTTGGGTTAGGTTAGGTTATAACTGCACAGTACATCTTTTATGAACAATTGAACTTACGAACAATTGAACTCACGAACAACTGTCCTTATGACCAACTGAACTTACGAACAACTGAACTTACGAACAACTGAACTTACGAACAATTGTATTTACGAACAACTGAACTTACGAACAATTGCATTTACGAACAACTGAACTTACGAACACTTGTACTTACGAACAAGCCTCAGCAAAGTAACTCTTTCGTAGGCAGAGTATCATCTGTTGTCTTACTTTCATTCTGTATACAACACCTTAATCTTATTTGTCTCGGCTATAAACATTGAACAGAGTTTGTCTTGGTTATGTGATCATTAACCATAGTTCACCTTGGCCATGTAAACCACTAATATTGTTTACCTTGGCCATGTAAACCACTAATATTGTTGACCTTGGCCATGTAAACCACTTATATTGTTTACCTTGGCTATATATAAACATTGACCTAGTTTACCTGGGCTATATAATAAACCTCGGTTATCCTGATCTATACAATATAAACAAAGGGAAAGGTTTTACCACAAGTATATGAGGTGACTTATGCCACTCAGAACTAACCACTAAATTACTTTCAGTCGTTTAACCCACCACAAAAAAGGTAAGAGAATGGAACACTTTGTCTCTAAAATCAAGAAAAAATAAATAAAATATATCAATAATATTCCCTCCGACTAAATCATCATCTGACATTCATTATAAACGCCACCGAAACACGATATAAAAATACTTGTACAAATTAACTATAAACCAAAACTAATTTGTTCTGTGTACTCTGAGATGGTTCCCATTTGAGGAGATGAACTTGTGCTGCGTTTATCATTTTGAAATAAATCAGCGATGACGGACTCGACTCTTTGGAACGATCTGAAGAACAGTTACCCCAGTTTATTTCTTTTGGTTATATACCCTAAAGCTGCCTGTGGGGGGGTTTCGAATCCTCAGTGAAATAAGCTGGGGTGCTGGTAAATAAGCTGGGGCTGGTAAATAAGCTGGGGTGTCTAATTATATGGTACAATAAGCTGGGGTATCTCATCATCTGGTATAATAAGCTGGGGTGTCTAATTATATGGTACAATAAGCTGGGGTGTCTAATCTTCAACTCATTTCTTTCCAATATCTTTTCCAAACAAAACAGTCGTTACATCTCGACAGTTTACACGTAATGAACAGTATAATTCTACATGCACAGACCACTGCATCAACCAGACTTAAATACTCTATATACTGTATTCTCCTCAGATAAAATGGTCACTGTATCTTATCAAGCGTCCATACAACAGCCTCAATCAGCAATGCTCAAGAAACAATGGTGAAGTTTTCCTGAAATTGATTTAGCAATGAAACCCAGTGAAGCTGTAGTCCCCTTCTGGTGAAACAGAAATGGATGAAACAGAACAGAGATAAGAGACAAAACAATAAAGTTGGTGGATTGATTCTCTTTGATAAACTGCATTTGATAAGACTTTTGGTAGACTGCCTTTGATAAGTTTGCTTCTGGTTGATGGTCTGTGGTAAGCCTGCCTTCATATTGACAACATGTGTAGGAGCATTAAGTAATGCTGTGACACAAGATATCACACCAACAATAAGATAAAAGTTATATTTGATAATTTAAAACTTTACAATATCATAACTTCTCATATGGCAGACACACCATCCTATCTATTAGAATTAAATGTATGTAATAAAATTAAATTTTTTGCTCTTAAAAGATTATTCTGTGGTACCAGAGACTAGGATTTTCTTACAATCTTTAGATACTCTCGACGAGCTGGATGCCTAAGAATTCATTTTGATTATCACCGGAACTGAAAAACAAAGAAAAATGTGATTAATAAGAAATCTAAAAATAAAGTTTTGTATACTTCAGTGTCTGCAAAAAAAATATTGACCCTTGTCACCTTTTTACACAACTTTAACAAAAACATACTAAGTCTCGATAAAATACCACACTACGGTAAACATTTATATTATATTCTTAAAAAAAAAATGTTTCACTTTGATTTTAACACCAGCTGAAGTTGATTTGGCATGGATTGAGCAAGTATCTCCTGCAGGTGAGGTACTAATGATGTGTTAACAGCTTTTGTTTCACCTGAGTCCATGTATTCCCTATCAGGTTTAAGTCTGGTGAGTTTACAGGCCACATCAGCACTCCTATATCCTTCCATATGCTTCATGAGGTGGAGTGTTATTGTGGCAGCACTACAATATGACACATTCAGCACCTTTTGTAGTTGGTGCTCAATTTTGTGCTATAACACATCTTAAAAGACATGTTCAGATACATCAACATGTCTCATAAGTGTCTCAGTGGCCTTGGAGACCTTTCTGTGCCCCTTAAGGAGACAAATACTGAGGTGAAACAGAAATGGCAGGAAATTTGAGAGCCATGTTGTTGTACTTCATCCTGGATTTCCCTCGGAGGAACTTTTTCAACCAACAGGTGAAGGATGAGAAGTTTTCCCTAATCTGACATGTTTTTGGAACCCCTGGTCACTGTTCTACAAAAGAAAAAAGAAAAAGAAACATAATTCCATTTGGTAGGCTGTAACTTGGCTCAAATTTCTGCATAAAAATTAATCTGTGTAACTGGGACCAATAATTTTAGCAGACACTGTATATTATATTATATTTGTGGATCTGGACTTGGAGGATCTGGACTCCTATTAAACCCTATTGCTGGCCAAATGGGAAATAAAATAATGACTAACAATGACTCAAAACCATCCAGGTGCCTTAGCTTTGAGCACAGCAGTACCAGCCGTTAATGATTCAGTAAAACCTCCACATAACAGACTTCTCTCTCTCCATATAATCCATTAGACGGAGGTTTCACATCTAACGGACCCTAGATATAATAGACTTTCATCTCGATACAGTTCACGATGTGGAGGTATCATATCTAACTGACCCTCGATATAATGAATTTTCCTCTCCACACAGCCCGTTAAATTGAGGTTTCACTGTATGCTTGGGTTAGATTGTGGCTTCGTATGACTGAACCCATTCCATCAGTCACCTTCACCCACTCTTAGGGCTCGGAAGAAACTACAATATAGAGGAATACCGGTAAGACCCGTTGACCCGAAGTAGAGAAAAGACGCCAACACTCAAAATAAGACTCACCGAATATCACGAGCAGGACGACAGTTACGACGCCACCGATGCACATCTTGGCGCGCGTGTTCTGCCACCACATGTTGCGTCTGAGGCGTGTGGCAGAGGTACGGAACTGGTCAGAGGTGGTGGCTAGACCCTCCGATCTGTCTTGTAGGTTGTCCAGTTGATCCCCTCTCTCCAGTAACCTTCCCACGTTGTCCCGCATCACGTCGGTCACCTCGGCAATCTGCACCCGTACACTATAGGAGGGGAGGGGAGGGGGATTGGTAGTGTTAATGTAAACTCTAGACCAGTGACCAAATTAAACCCAGAAAGAAAGATTTAATGTAAAGTTTATTTTAGTTTTTCTGATACGTCAAAGAATGTGCAGTGGTCCCTCGGTTAACGAGCACAATCCGTTCCAGCAGGTTGCTCGTTAACCGGAAAACTCGTTAACCGAAACCATTGTTTCAATGGGTTTTTGAGTAATTGGTTCCAGCTCACCGAAAATTTCCTAAATTCAACAAAAAAGGTAGAAAAGTACACTTACTTTGAGGTGTGTATGTAGAAGGCTCCTGGATGATGATGATGGGAATTAGAATGGGGTGGAGGAGAAGGAAGAAGAGAAGGCATTGGGGTGGAAGAGAAGTCACCCATGGCACCATTTCACCCATAAAATTTTAGTTCTCTTGGTGTATTTCAAGATTATTTTCTTTAAATCAACACTGCACTGCATTATATATTGTCAATATGTAAAATATATTTCAAAATGACCAATAATTTGCTTGGAAACACAGAAAAAAAGCGTTTAGTTGAAGAGAGTCTCAAGCAAGATGTTACCTCCACTGACAACAGAGAGAGACTAACGCCTGTCTGGTGTGTTAACAGGCTGGATGGCACGCCAGAAACTAGTTTCTTTACCTTCAATTATGTTCAATAATTGTTAAAATGACTAAAAAAGTTAATATTAAACTTTTAAAATTATTGAATAGTATAAACTTCTTGATATTTACTAACATAGTAAGGAATTTAAGCCCTAAAACCGATTACTGTATTGCGGACTAATACTACAGCTGGACCGCCAAATGCAAGCGAAAACATGTTGAGGTCGGCTCGTAAAAAACTCGGTAATCGAGGGATTGCTCGTTAACCGAAGTTAAGAATCTTATGGAAGGTAAATCGTTAACCGAAATCTCGTTAACCGAGGCGCTCGTTAACCGAGGGACCACTGGAATGCATTTATACATAATACAGAAGTAAATAGTGCTATGCCACACTATACAGCCATATTAAAGGTTTCACTATCAAAATCAAACATGATGATATTAGGTAAATGAACCATAAGACAGAGATAAATAAGGCTGAATATTATCCTACCAACACTACAAGAATAACTCATGTACTCACTCCTTTAATTTATCGGAAGCAAATCGTACGGTCTTTTTGCTGGAAGGTCCTCTGTAAGTATACACACAAGTTTGTATTAAGATTAAATGAATAAAACACAACTACTGAGTAAACTGAGTCACAATTTAGACGAATGTAAAAACTTGATTGGATAAAACTAATGACATCACTCCCAGGTTCATGACAATAACAAAAAGATGAAGCAAGAATAAACAGATTTAAGACATATTATAAAAGTCATCAATCCTCAATTTACGGCCATTTTGCCACGCTTACACGAGCTTGCCGTGATTTCCTTGATGACAACTCTAGATGGCGATCAGTCTGAAGTGGTTTCTCTTGTCAGCTTCTTAATTCTAATGTCATTTCTTACTTACAACCTCAGTCTCAAGTTGTTTCTCTTGTCAGGTTCTTAATTCTAATGTCATTTCTTATTCACAACCTCTCCTCCGCCCCCCCCATTTCATTCATGTCCTACCCCTGGCTCTCCTCTTCTCCACGTTCAGACTCCTGCACCTCTTGACCTTATCTATTCTCTCCATATGCCCAAACCATCATACAATCTCTCCTATTCTAACTTCACCTCACTCAATCCTATTTAACAGCCTACCATAACACCCACCATGATTCCTACCATAACACCCACCATGATTCCTACCATAACACCCACCATGATTCCTAGCATAACACCCACCATGATTCCTACCATAACACCCACCATGATTCCTAGCATAACACCCACCATGATTCCTACCATAACACCCACCACCTACCTAACCATGACCCCACCATGATTCCTACCATACCACACCCACCATAACTCCTACCATAACACCCACCATAACTCCTACCATAACACCCACCATAACTCCTACCATAACACCCACCATGACTCCTACCATAACACCCACCATAACTCCTACCATAACACCCACCATAACTCCTACCATAACACCCACCATAACTCCTACCATAACACCCACCATAACTCCTACCATAACACCCACCATGATTCCCTCACCCACAAAATACTTACTTAAGAAAGAAATCTTCTTCATCTTCTGCCACATCTTCATCTTTACTTATCAACTTTTCCTGAAACAAAAAACAAACAGATTTACTTACAATTTACTTCAGATTTACAATTTACTTAGCACTTACGATTTACTTAAGACTGTTATGTTTCAGTAAATCAATGTAACGAAATTAATATTAAAATGCAATAAACGAGTTCCAAGAGTTTAATTTTTTTTATAGTTTTGGATTTTTATGGGATAGGTTGGGTTAGGTTAGGTTAGGATAGGTTAGGTTGGGTTAGGTTAGGATAGGTTGGGTTAGGTTAGGTTTTCAGAAGTTTATTTGATGTTTTATTATTTTTAAGCCACATTTCCCCTCTAGTTCAAAGCTCTGCCCATTTTGAATAACTAATATTGTTGGTAATATTATCAGTTAAAATACCTAAAAAATATAGAATAAATGTAGAATAGGTTATATTTTTTCAACCTTCACCCTATATTAGAATTGATTTATAAGTAGATGTTGACAGTTACTAAATATTTACCCATATAAAAACTTATCGTCTTTAAAAATACTTATACGTGGTAAAAATAAACTCTGGTGGCAGTGCTGTTCTCATAAATCACCAGCATATTTAACATAGAGCACACATAGTATTACTGAGACAACATAACAACATAGAGCACATAGTATTACTGAGACAACATAACAACATAGAGCACATTAAAGCAACCTTCAGATGATCTAAGTTTCACCAGATTTAGGAGTAATGATAAGTAGGAACCTTAAACCAAGTAAACAATGTGTTTTTGCTCGTAACAAGGCTAATAAAGTACTTGGGTTCATATAAAGTAGTGTTAGTTACAAGACTAGCGAGGTCATCCTAAAACTATATCCTGCGCTTGTTAGACCACACCTGGACTACGCAGTTCAGTTCTGGTCACCGTATTACAGAATGGTTATAGAATCCTTGGAAAGAATTCAGAGGAGAATGACAAGACTAATCCCGGGCATTAGGAACCTTGAGTATAGAGACAGGTTAAAGCATCTTAATTTACACTCCCTCGAGAGACGTAGAGTGAGAGGCGACATGATAGAGGTGTATAAATGGAAGTCGGGGCTAAACAAAGGGGACATTACAAAGGTACTCAAACTATCCAACCAGGAGCGAACTGGTAACAATGGTTTTAAATTAGACAAATTTAGATTTAGGCGTGAAATAGGTCAACACTGGTTTGGAAACAGAGTAGTGGATGAATGGAACAAGTTACCAAATATCATCATTAACTCGAATACGCTGGATAGCTTCAAACACAGGTTGGATGCTTATATGAGCAATAGGGGTTGGGTATAAACGGGACTGCCCAGTATGAGCCATTAGACCCGCTGCAGTTTCCTCCATTCTTATGTTCTTAGGACGAGACACTCCAGCTGGTGACTTACAACTTCGTCATCGTCTGCGTCGTCCAGGTCCTCCTCCGTCAGGTTACGTTTGGGAGGCATGTTATCTCCTTTATCTTCTCTTTATACCTTAAATCCGTGACCTTTGGAGGTAGTGTAAGGATGAGACTACAATATGTTACCAGTGGACATGTCACCCACAGACGGCCATATTTGTTTACATTTAAGGATTGATGTGCCGCCGTTCACATAGACCAGGTGATGCCTGACGTGCCTTTACCTATATTGTCTTATTATATATCCCTAAACAATATCTTTAATTATTAAAAATATAAACTAAAAATATTAAAATATAATCATTAAATTAAATATTAAATATATTTGGTAAACTTATTAATATTAATAATGAAATAATTTATATATATATATATATAAAAGAACACAGTTTATATCCAATTAAAGTCCATTGAACATTTAAACACCTGTGCCCTTTAACGTAGTAAACAAACTAACTATACAAAATGTTTCCATATTATGAATTTATTTAAAGTTTATTAGATGGTATTATTTAAGACTAAGATCCACTCAGTCACATGGTAAGATAAAGACTCATAGACGACCATTTAGTCATACTCACTGATATGGATGATAAGATGTGTTTTTTTAATAAAGGATAACTTATAACTAGTATATCTTAATTAAATATGAAGGATAATTAAACATTTAGGATAATTTTACTGAATATCTATCTATTTAACTAACAACCCAATGACTAGTATGGTGGTATTGAGTTATTAATTCAGTCTATTTCATTAAAAAATAATAAAATATAGAACTATTTTGTTATATATCATTATTATTAATTATTTTTTTATCTCGATCGTCCTGTATATTGTAATAATCTCTATAATATGATAGATATTTAGTAAAGTTTAATTGTTTTGATCTGGAAGTTACGGGTCACATGAACGATATATCCCGAAGCTTCGAATCATCAATCTGAAATGAAGCAACGAATCATTTAACTCTTATATCATATCAATTACTACTTCAAAATCTAATATATAAATAAATAAACTTAAACAATTAATCCCACAGACTTTATATAAAAATCTAGTATATATTTTAATCTTTTTTGGTTTAATTTAAAGTTGAATAAAGGAATAAAGTCACATTAGCTCATTCAGTAATACGAAACATCAACTCAAGGGTTCGAGGTGTTGACCCAGGAGTGTGTGTGGAGGCTGACCAAGAATAATCCATTGTGTATTTGAGTTAATTTATGATTTATACTAGTTAATTACTCATAATTTACCTCATTTAAGTGGTTATTAACTCTCCTAGGGTGAGTTATGTGTTGGTAGATTATTAAATATATGTCTTAGGAACTTGTGGTTACTGAATTATCTAGAATGTTAGAATTTATTGTAATAGTTTAGTGGGAATTATTAATGGAATGTAATTATGTTATTTCTGTTAAGTTATTGGGTTAAATAACTGTAATTGACTAAGTTCCAGATATTATTACCTTATATATCAATGTATGTTTTTCAGTATTGATTTTAGTATTTTTAGTGATTAAACATTGTCACTTGTAATGGTTGTTAAGATGAGCCAAATCTAGGGGTAAATTATGGTGCAATCTAAGGGTAAATTATGGTGCAGGTGGGGGAGACAGTTATCACCAGAAGGAACTAATGGAATAGCACCAAAGTTACGGGAGATGTTATTTGTACGGAACTAATGTAATGAGGGAGAGCGGTACTACTATCGGGAGCTGTTTGACCTTGTTAATTTTTTCCAGAGATGTTCTTATAATTGTAGTAAGTATTTTAAAAGAGGCGACATTTACTAGAACCTAACCTAACCTAACCTAGCCTAACCTAACCTAACCTAACTTCCTAGCTCGGACGAAGTGGATCAGTTGTAAACAAACAGCGGACAACAACACGCAGATTATTTGGAAGAGTTTTTATGGTAAATAATTTATTTCTTCGGTAATTATGTCGGACTAACCAGTGAGCGAAATTTATTGACAAAATTATAAAAACCACTAGATTTTCATTGTTAAATTATAGTGGAAACTGTTGTAGTTTGTGGAAATATGTTAAAAATGGATAATGTTAAAATAAATGCTACTTAATATTTGTGGGTATGCAGAACAGACCTAACCAAACACACCTACCTAACCTTATCTAACTTCCTTTGGTATTTTTGCATTAGTTCACAACTTTCCTGCCACTAATCTATTATCATATTCGAAAAAGACGTCTAATTTTGATATAATTTTCTTGTATTACATTACCGTCGCACACGTACAATAAAGGAGATAGCGCAGGCCAGATATTTCTCTATTTTCTTCCATTAATCTTCCGCCATTATCGCCTACCTCACCTCCCACTCAGTTTGTTTCCTTCATAAATCGTCACGCGCTGCCGTACAAGTCACGCGGCCAATCAAAAGGTTTTTTATTTTTTCTCCACCAATTAAAATGAATTATGGTTTAATTTGCGGTATTTTTTGCCCAATCAAATCCGATTGTGATTTTGGGTGTCATATTTCGAAATTGAAATGGAAGTCTGCGATGGGTGTCACTTCAATTATATGGAGATGATTGTGCAGCATTTTATAGACCTTATGGTGTTGTTCCGACCTCAGTAAAGTGTCCTAAGTGTAAGAACGAGTGTAAATATCGTCAAGACCAACATAGTTGATATTGTAGTATATCCGACGACAAACCAGAACCAGGCCAATAAGGTAAGAAATAAGTGATTCCATCATATGGTCAGAGTTAGGTTAGGTTAGGTCAGGTCAGGTCAGATCAGGTTAGGTTAGGTCAGGTCAGGTCAGGTCAGGTCAGGTCAGGTCAGGTCAGGTTAGGTCATCCAAAAAAATGTTCGGTTTATATATTTTTCTTGTGTCTTTCTTTGTGTATTTTGCCTTCACTTGGCCATGATCTTTGTGGGAAAACGCCTCGCCCAAAACCCTTGATAACTAAAACAGGCAATTTCCGACGCTAATGAAGGTCAAAACACAAAAATACATTAGAAAATCAGAGTTGTGTGATCTAATGCAAATTTACCCTTCCTTACCGGGGCTCTGTCTCCCGGACCCTCCGGTATAATAAACAGAAACAACTTATTATGATATGGTGAAATTTGAGGCATTTCTGGGCGTGAGATGATGCGGCCGGATCAGCGCAGAAGAGCTCAGGCGGCGGAGTGATTTACTGTGCTGGCGGGTTACACAATAAATGATTATCATATCAGAACTCACTGGTGAAAATATTGTAAGAAAATAAACAGTAATAAAAATAACTCGCTCATTGGTTAGTTCTACGGGTACACTATACAGGTACTATATATTAATGATTTCTTGGCGTACAAAGCACGATGACATCAGTTTAGTGTCAAATGATCAGTTTTTCACTGTGTTTTACCCCACAATTTCCTATATCCTTCACGCCCTGCCCATTGCTGGTCATTTATGACCGTACTTTTTTTTTTTTATGGGGAATAGTCCACCCGGGCACAGGTCATCGACCCACAACTGGGGTAAGAGTAAAGGGATTTAAAAAATAGAAAAGAAAAATAAAAGAACTGAAAAAATAAAAATATTTCTAATAAAAATATAAATTTGTCATATCGTTTTTATAACTTACTATCATCCAAAGAACATATGTAGAAAAAACGAATAAAATTGAACAACTCCCTTTGGTGTCAGCCATCTGCCCAAGTATAGCCCCTAACCTAACCTTACTGGGGGCCCCTGAACCCCGCCATATTAAGTCGCTGTTGACCTGATAACAACCTTAGCTTCTTATTAAGGTGGATTGAGTGCAGTGATGGCATCCAACTGTTACATTTAAACAAGTATTTTTTCTTGAGTGTCACTTCCCTGTCACACTCTGGACACTGCACACCCTTCCAAGGACTCAATGATCACATGAAGTAGTGAAGTATTTAATTTGGTGCGGTGAAGTAAACTACAGAAGCTAACATCCATTACTGTACAGCAGTTTGTGGCTAACGATCACCACTGAAATGAGGACAATTTGACTTTATCCTCGTTTAATTTCCTGTTGAGTACGGTAAACTCTTGCTATTTGCGGGTTTACTATTCACGATTCGCGGTAAGCATCCGATGGCTATGGTGGTTAGCTTGTGAGCCTTTTCCTGCTGCACAACGAGTGACCCCGCGTGCCTGAAGCGTCTGCTCTCCCTCTGTTCACGCTCAACCATTGCCTGTGACGCAGCATCTCGTGTTGTACTCTCAAATCCTCATTGTTTCTCTGTGTAATTGGCCCCTGAAAGACTACCTAGTGTCAGTGCTAGTGATGCTAGTGGAGTGAAACTTAAAAGGCAGAAGTCAATGATGACCCTGACAAAGAAAGTTGTATTAGACAAGATAAAAGAGGGGATGTGTGCTGCCATGGTTGGTCAGTTGATTCATATTGGTATATTAGTGCACTAGGGTAGTTTAAGTTGGTATTCGCTGTTTTGCCTATTCTCACCATTCCCTGGAACCTAACCCCCATGAATAACAAGGGTTTACTATATTGTGAACAGTTACTTGTTGTCTCTTAGTTCTACAGTACTGTGTGTGGTTCAGCTCACTTCCAGAAACATGTTGAATTATGTACAGTACAGCTCCTCCCCGACTTACGGCCAACTCGACTTACGACCACCCGCACTTACGACCTGCCTCAGTCGTACCAAAATTTTGTCAAATTACGTATTTTCGAGTCTCAACTTCAGTACACAGACAAAATTTTCGTTTGTAATTCACTTTAATATGGCTGGCAAGCTTAAAAGTGAGAGTTTTGTGGTGCTGAGAAGAAAAAGAGACACCCATTTTAGATTTTCTATGTATTATTAAAGCATTTTCGCCTTACTACCTGGATTTGGGACCCTAACCCCTTCGTAAGTCGGGGAGGAGCTGTATTCTCCTACTGATGGGGTCATGACATCTGGGCAGTCAGTACCATCTATATTATGTAACTATAACAATATTCTCTATGTACTGTATTTATAGAAATTATGTAGGCATATTTGACTTGTATATTCACCTTGACAGTTGCCATGTTCTCAGGGACTTAAGGTCAGAGGTTAATGTTACAAGACACAAGTTGAGACCTGGGTTAAGTATAGCTTATTTCTTGTAGTTTGTTTCCCTCAAAATCCAACTGTTTTCTGCAGATGGAAGGTCTGGAAAAAGATATGGCATCGGCAAGTCTGTGTGGTAAAGAGGAGGAGGAAGAGGAGGAAATGTATGAGATTAAGGAGAAGGAAGACACATCTCGGTCCACCACGCCCGACAGTGACGACTCGTTCCATTCACTCGAAGACGAAGACCGAGGAGTACCAAACTGTCCGTCAGAGCTCAGGTAAAGGCTCTCTCTCAGGACACATTTGCTGCGGTGGCTCCAACAGCATCCACACAGTAATGTGCTTTTACACGCTGGGCAAAGCCTTCCCCTGTTAAGCAACCAATGTCTGAATTACTGTATTTTGGATGCATTTATATAACCTGTACTGAACTATTTTGGAGATGGTGGAGCAAGGCTGAAAGTCACTGTCAATAAACGTACATCTGTTTAAGATATTTGAGGACAGGCTGAATCAATATTAACCAAGCTCTCACATCAGACACACTACTATTTCTTGATTAATTTACATTTTTTTTCTTTTACAATTTGTCCCAAAAGGGGGCTAGTTTATTGGGCACCCCCTTTGCATCCTGCATCAAAGGTCCCTTGGTACTGAAAATACTTAATTTTTTTCTGAAGTTTTCCACATTTTTTGGAGTTTAGCATTTTGCTGAAAAGGTTTGTGCGTGGAATTAAAACAGAGATGATTGAAAGTTTTAGGCTTCATGGACCAGTACAGTACCGTACGGTAATGTATATGTTTCACAGTCATGATATAGTATTTGTTTCCTGTATTATTAACAACATTTGTATTTTAAATCATTAACAGAGCACCAGAAGAAACAGATGAGTCATCAGAAGACTCTCAGTCATCAAACGTTCCAATAATTGAGCCGGAAGACGGATCCCAGAGCTGTGATGGTCACTCAGATGATAAGACAACTGAGGCACCTTGTGAGCAGGACCAGGAGAAGGAGCAGGAACAGGACCAGGAGCAGGAACAGGAGCAGGAGAAGGAGCAGGAGCAGGAGGACGACGAGGACTCAGTGGACGAGGAGTACCTCAAGGATCTTGAGCTGAATTTGAGCGAAGAGGAAAAGAGTGTGAGTATTTTTTTATCTTTTGGGACTGACTCTGTCTGTATGGGTGTTATAAACTATTTCTTGTGCAGGATATAACTCCTGTATCAGTACAGTGGTGTCAGCGCCCACATCTTGGGTACCTACGCCTTTTGTTTGATACTCCACGTTGGATCACTTGGGATGTGGTCACAGCAGGTTGTGTGCCGTATGTTACACCTTGTAAGCACACTCATAAAAAAGTTATCCAAAACTCATCTTACATGCTGAAGGTTAACCCTTGGGCAGATGAGAACACAGACTTAATCCATGGTGGAAATAATCAGAGACAATAACCCGAGTTACCAGCCACCTAACCAAAAATATGTGCTGTATACAGTAGAACGTCAATAATAAATTCCAAGAGACAAGAGAGGTCGCTTTAAACTGAATTCGCACTAAATCGAAGTGTTTTTTCGATGGAATAATTTAGTTTGGTACTTGAGAGAAACACAAAATACTAAAAACACTGACAGTCTACCCAGATGCACCTTAGCTCATCTGCAATAAACAAAACATTGTTTTTTGTAGTATTATGTTAAAACAAACACTCTTAAATAAACACAGCTAAAATTAAGGGATGCAAAATGGTCTGTTTACTGGCTGGGAAGTTGGGGGGGAGGGAGGTGAGGTGATATGTTTGACAGTTGATGCCAATGTCTAGTGCAGGGGTTCTCAACCAGGGGGGAATTTCCCCCCTCAGGTTTTCAGGGGGGGAGAAAACTGATGCTAATATGGAAAAAATAAAGGATTTTCAGTATTATATGCATATTATTTGGAATGCACTTTTTGAGGCAGACAATCTTGGAAAGGAGGAGGGAATGACATTCTGACATATGGTGAAAGGAGTGCATGGGGCAAACAAGGTTGAGAACCACTGGTCTAGTGCTTATTTATTTATCTGTCCTTAAGAGTAACTTTAAGTTTTTCTCTTATAAAATGTCATTGAACTGACATGGGAGAATATAATTAACATTGCTGGAATTCTTATAAAATAGGGATTAATTTGAATATAAACATGCTATAGCTCGCATTAGACATACAGATTTTAGTTCTAATTTAAGAATTTTAGTACAAAGAGCAAATATTCTAATCTCGAACAAAATATATGATGTTTACATTATTCGCTGTCTTACAAGGATTCCAACAATACAAATTATATTCTCCTAACTTTAGTCTGTGACATTATATAAGATAAAAACTTTAAGCCTAAAACACCAAACCCTGGCTGGGAAGATGGGGGGGGAGGGGAGGGGAGGGGAGGGGAGGAGGTGACATGTTTGACAGTTGGCACCGAAGGTCTAGTGAAGGATTTATTTGTTTATTTATGTACTTTAGATTGAGTTCATGTTTTTTGTTTATAAACTGTCACACAAGTGACTGGGGAGAATATAATTTACATTGCAGGAAATCTTATAAGATAGTGATTAATTTGAATATACAGTGATCCCTCGGTTAACGAACGCCTCGGTTAACGAAATTTCGGTTAACGAACTGCCTTCCATAAGAATCTTCAATTCGATTAACGAACAAAAATTCGGTTAACGAATTTCTTACGAACCGACCTCAACATGTTTTCACTTGCACTGGCCGGGCAACCAGCTTTAGTATCAGTCCGCCAATACATTAATCGGTTCTAGGGCTTAAATTCCTTACTATTTTAGTAAATATCAAGAAGTTTATACTATTCAATAATTTTAAAAGTTTAATATTAACTTTTTTAGTCATTTTAACAATTATTGAACATAATTGAAGGTAAAGAAACTAGTTTCTGGCGTGCCATCCACCCTGTTAACACACCAGACAGGCGTTAGTCTCTCTCTGTTTTCAGTGGAGGTAACATCTTGCTTGAGACTCTCTTCAACTAAATGCTTTTCTTCTGTGTTTCCAAGCAAATTATTGGTCATTTTGAAATATATTTTACATATTGACAATATATAATGCAGTGCAGTGTTGATTGAAAGAAAATAATCTTGAAATACACCAAGAGAACTAAAATTTTATGGGTGAAATGGCGCCATGGGGTGACTTCTCTTCCACCCCAATGCCTTCTCTTCTTCCTTCTCCTCCACCATCATTCTAATTCCCATCATCATCCTCATCATCCAGGAGCCTTCTACATACACACCTCAAAGTAAGTGAACTTTTCTACCATTTTTGTTGAATTTAGGAAATTTTCGGTGAGCTGGAACCAATTACCCAAAAACCCATTGAAACAATGGTTTCTGTTAACGAACTTTTCGGTTAACGAACAACCTGCTGGAACGGATTGAGTTCGTTAACCGAGGGACCACTGTAAATATGCTATAGTTTGCACTAGACAAAAATTTTAGTAATCATTTAGTACAATATTTTGAGTACATGTACAGTACAGCTTTGCCCTTAGGACAGTGTGGCGTGCCCAGAGAAACATTAGGCTCAAAATTTTAAATATGATGCACCAGATTGACTCGCGCAAAATAGGAATGATTCGCTTTAAATGAAAACATTGTCCTTAATTGTGGGTGTCGCTTTAAATCAATAATCTTAAATTGAATCGCTTTAAATCGACGTCCTACCGTAGAAGAAAAGTTATCTCTTCCCCCCTCAAGATTAAACCCAATTGTGTAGAGTAATGGTTAGTTAACTTCAGGTTTTTTCTGAAGATAACAAAAGGAAAGATGCCATTACTGCCGCCTGCACAAGAAGGCCGCTGTTTATGTGACCTGCAGGAGGTATCATTGTAGTCCAAACATAGACATTAATGGTAACACTACACCACTTTATCTTGTCTTATGATCATTAATAATAAACAGCAAGTTTAAACAAATTCTGTAGATGATGATAATAGTAGGATTTTTGTTTGTCTATACATTATTATTATTATGTAGTGGAAGTTTATTAGAAGTATTATTATATTATAGGCTATTTGGTTTATAAATGGAACTATTATTATGTAGTGGAAGTTTATTAGAAGTATTATTATATTATAGGCTATTTGGTTTATGTGGGTAAATGACAGACAGTTTGTTGGGGGAAGTTCATTATAATAATAATAATAATAATAATTATACGTTAGTACGCGTGACTGTTGTCATTTGTCGCACATAACAAGACGTCTTATATCACCAACACGCCATGTACGAGCCTCTAGTCGGCTCTGCTGTTCTGCGTCATATATTGAATACAGTAATAAATCTGTCAGCCAGAATCCCCCAAACCCGGAACTCTTCGATGGCCAGAATTGAAATTTTCTCGGAAATGATTTTCCGAGGGACACATTTTCCGGAAAATTCAGATAAATTTTTCCCGATACCCGGAAAATTCCAGAGATGGGGGGGCTTTTTCTTGCTCTGAGAGAGTCGTCTCGTTACCCGGAAATCTGTCATTCCCGGAAGTGCTCTGCGCCAATTGTTCCGGCTAACGGAGATATCACTATTACAAAAACTGCCGAGTTAACTTGTTCCTTGAGGTAAAAGAATTGTCAGTGAGAGATAACTAATATAGGGAACACTTTTACTGTACAGCGGAGTCCCTCAGTAAAGCCGTGTCGACCTCGCTATACTGACATCAAGGCACCACTTTCATATTTCATCAGTGTTGTTTAATTTTGTTTTTTACCCGAGAATTAAGAGTTAAACACTCCAGGTCTTTTAATCCTTATCTTATTTTTAATGGAAAGTGACAGAAATCATAGAAGAAGTATTTATACGTGGCACATGTGTACCTGTGTTACCCACTCTGGAAGGCCACACAAACAGGTGCCGGACAAAACTCCCCCCAGACAAAACTCCCCCCAGACAAATCTTCCCCCAGACAAATCTTCCCCCAGACAAAACTCCCCCCAGACAAAACTCCCCCCAGACAAAACTCCCCCCAGACAAAACTCCCCCAGACTAAACTTCCCCAGACAAAATTCCCCCAGACAAAACTCCCCCAGACAAAACTCCCCCAGACAAAACTTCCCGCAGTTGTAATAAATCTCGTTGAATACGTAGTGGCATAAGCATGAGGTAAATAGATGATTGGGTGGTTTCTGCTGCCCAACTCACCATAAAGAAACATTAACAGCTTTTGAAGAACCTGTGTCTGGTCTTTGTGGATGAGAGGAAGACCCCAGAGGAGCTTGTGTAGGGAGTAGGTCACAGCATCAGGTGGAAGTAAAATAAACTAATTAAACCTCAATGAACTCGAGAATATTGTGGTTTATTTGACTTTGGTGAGATATGGTACAGTATGATGATCCTTTTAAAAGGTTTGTGGTGGGGGGGGGTAATGTCCTTCACTTCACTCAAACAGTTCCATAACCTGACTAAACACACTATTTGGAGGAAAGGCCTTACAATTGTGTGTGTGTGTATGTATACCTTGAGACTCATATTGGTGTGTGTGTGAGGGTAGCCAGGTCGTGGAGATGTGCCTCAGTGACACAACACACACATGTCAGCCTACCATAACTCCTCACTTACAGCAGTATATATTCAACACTTCTGTGCTCTATGTATATAAATATGACTCTGTTGAACTTGTTTTGTTATTAATTAGAAATTGCTCCTGGCTACAACTTGACCAGTTATTGTGTAATAATATAATACTATTAATAATATTTATTCAGTAAATCATATATCTGAACCTGTAATGAACACATAAATTAGTGTAAAAAAATGTACCTCTGGTTGTTAGGATTCGAATCTGGACTACCAAGGTTGGCAGTGAGGCAGCTGTCCACTGGACCACAATGGGCTAAAAGCTACCCACGTGTAGCTCAAGGCCCATGTCCCCTATTGTGGGCATGGTGGGTTAGGACAGCCTGCCCACACTCAGGTGCCAGAGAGCTTTTACTCAGATTCCCAGAATGCAAAGATGAAAATTGTTTACAGTAAAATCATCATACTGTACACACTGACAGATTGGTTGACATGTACAGTATAGTCTCAGTATAGACAGTGCAGTAACATGGTGCGCATATGGGGTCTTGTTATATGTTGCACCACTATGTCGCTAACAAATATAGGAAGACATTTTCATTGTTCAGGTATGGGACCATTTATCACATATGCCTGGGATCTGGGGGTTACCTGATAGAGGGTGTATCCAGAATTATGGGAGTACCGGGCCTAAAATATACTGAGTAAAGAAAATAAAGGAATGTTTGGCTGAAATTATGAGTTGAAATAAAACAATAACATTCAGTATAACTCACAGATGGGTAATGGCTGGTAATATCCTCGCTCGGCCCGGGAATTACATTTGACGCTAATTTTAAATATCTGTAGTAATTTGTTCCTGATCATAGCCAGATTTTAGAGTGTTCCCGATACAGTACCTGGATGAACAGTCCCATACCTGTGTGTCAGTTGTTTCACATGATGATAGAGTAATATGTGTTGTGTAATATAAAGTATTATTTCAGGTAAAGAGAGATGAGAGCCTGACTCAGAAGGAAAGTGGCAATGACAGCTTCAGGAATGGTCAGTTCCAAGAAGCCGTGGCTGCATACACTGCTGGTCTCAGACTCTGCCCCTTGTCGTACCCCAAAGATCGTGCTATACTCTACTCTAACAGAGCTGCGGCAAAGGTCAAGATGGTTAGTGTTTGTCAGTATTGTAGTTTGTTTAAGACTTTTTCATTTGTTATATATTATACTTGTTTGTCTACACAGTAGCTCTCTCTTTATCCATACTGTACCGTACATATTGTGAGGAGAGGATGACACAACATCTTTCCTTTTGAATTAAGCGTTGATAGATTTTCCACGTGTTAACCTAATAGTAATGTTGTTCTCGTGATCATTCTATTTAACACCATCTCTTGTATTGGAGTGTTGACTTTACCTAATGTGTTGCGACCTTGGCTGAGAGAAATACACACCATCACTTCATAGTGTCCTGGTGTTCGTCGACTCACTGAGGTTATAAACATGACTAATGGCTGATGGTCCTCACCAGCTTCAGCATGTTTAAAAATTTCTAACTTTAATTCCAGTGTTAATGTTGTTCTCTTGCACGTCATAGATGGACAGGGACGAGAAGAACTTGTTGTAGGATGCTTAGAAGCCAAGTTAATAATGTAGTCCTGTACTCTACTGTATAGGTACTGAGGGTAAGAAAATAAAGCACCAAGCTAGTGATATACTTTAAAGATCCACACAGTACAACAGCTAATGTCAGACTGAGTAATTGGCCACACACGGCTGACTTATGGTTTTTTTAATGGAGAAGGCGCCCCATTGTGATGACTGTCTGGTCGCATTGATTATTCAACACCTACTGGTGGGGCGCCTCAGTCTCAGAGATCTTCATCGTAAGCACCTCTCCTAGTGCCTGGGGGGTGATGGATCTTACCGTCTCTCTCTGGTGCTGGAGGGGGGTAGTGTGGGGGGACGTCCTCTCCTTCATGGAGGAGGCCGGCCTTCTACACAAGGTTTTAGTTTTATCTATTAACGTTTAAATGGTTCTATGTTATTTTTTTATCTTGCATTATTTGATTTTAATATTTTAAGTCTTACAGTATTTTAATTCAGCGACATATGACCTAAGCTGTTGCGTTGCCAGGGATGTAATTACCCCAATCAATCACTCTTCCTTCCTCCATGTCCTCATTCATTGGTAGGGGCCGCCTCTGTAACTTCTCCTCATCTGCTTCCATGGTACAGGGCTTCAGGACCACCTCACAGAAGGAAGCACCAACTAATGGATAATGATGAGGGATATAGAAAGGAGATGTGAAATAGACCAAAATGGGATATATAAATGAAACATACAGTAATGAATAATGTTTAGTGGATCTCCAGTCATCTGATAAGTTCTTACAATACCTGTGAATGCTGTATAGTATGTCACATGTTTCAGAACTATTCAATGTATAATTAAATCACATCTCTTTAACCCATAGTGTCCCTCTGTTTATTAATGTCAGGGCAAAGTCGTGAACTGTGTCAGCTGCCCCAGTTACATAGGACTTAAGCCATGCTGCTGTACAATCACTGAAAATGAAATAAAGAGAGAGAGAGAGGAAAAACAGTGAGGAGAGATAGTCATATCACCCCATCTCTCTCTCTCTCTCTCTCTCTGTCATTCTCAGACTGTTCTGTACTATAAAGTTAGCGCCATATACTACACTTAACTAGGAATATATCTAAAAATTACAACCACACTTAAGAAAAATAATTACCTCACTTCTTAACACTGTCGTCGCTTACACAGATTACAAGATATATACAGTTTTGCTGAAAAGAATTCCTGGGAAGTTTTATGGGAAATTGGGAAGTAATAAAAAAAGCCTCATTCAATATGAAGTTCTGTATGAGTTAATAACATCACTTTTAAATACTTTCTCCCCAGGACCTGAAGAAGGAGGCGATCAGCGACTGTAATAAGGCCGTAGAACTCCACGACACGTACACAAAGGCCATATTGAGGCGTGCAACACTCAACGAAGAAACGGACAATTTAGACGAGGCGCTGAAAGACTTCCGGCGAGTATTGGAATTAGACCCAAGTCATAAGGAATCCGAGGAGGCTGTTAGAGTGAGTATATAAGTGTCTTAGCTACCTAACCTAACCTGGTAAAAATAATCTTGTCCCTCATTTTTTTAAACCAAGTTAGTGTGAATCTTAAGACCATTTTGAAGAATAGGTAGAGTGTGGTAGAGCACATCTGGTAGAGGAGGAGTTGGGATGGACAGATGATAGGGTAGGGAGGAGAGGCTGTGGCGCTTTTGATTCTGGTCACATTGGCATTGAGGGAAAGGCATTATGAAATATGGATTACCTGAGAATTATCCCCAGTTTATTTTACCTTAATCCCTTGACTGTGGCTTGTGGTAAATCTATTGTGTGTGAATATCATTTAGAAATATATCTATGCCTACAGGCTAATGGGAAGAGAGAGAATAAATCAGTTACCTAGTTTGGTTTAGTCAGGGTGAAGATTTCCTGTGCTATAACTCATGAGGTGGACAGTTCTGGGTCAGTAGGAGTTGGAAACAGATCTACAGTACTTACCCCCATCATGTCTGTGTGTGTACTGAGGGGTTGGTGTAGGGGGACTAGAGCCTTTAGTAACAGCCTCTATAGTGGACCAGACATGTGGGATTTTTGGCAGCTAAAGGATTAAGATAGAATAACTTAACCTAACACTAACCTAATGTTAACCTAATCTAATAGTAATCTAACACAACCAAACACTAACCTAACCAAACACTAACCTAATCTAACCTAACTTAATTTAACCTAATCTAACCTAACTTAATCTAACCTAATCTAACCTACCACTAACCTAGCCCCTCCTTGTACCTCTCTCTCTCTCACCAGAACCATCTTTTACTTCCAGAGATTGCCGGATATGATTAATGAGAGGAACGAGAAACTCAAGGAAGAAATGATGGGTAAGTTTGTAGCTACACTTATCATTTGTCTCTCTTACAATATATGGAAGCAATACCTGTGTAGTGAAACATCTCCTTAGTGGGTTTTGTGGTGTATTGGTCAGCATCCTCGCCTCACAAGTGAATGGACCCGGGTTCGATCCCCGGGCAGGGTGAAGCTATGGGCAGGTTTCTTTATGCCATTTGCCTCTGTCTACCCAGCAGTAATTGGGGACCTGGATGTTAGTGGATTTGTGGATCGTGTTCTGGGGTAATGGTTAGCCAGTGCAGTTGGTGAGTTGTCCGGTCTTCTCGGATTATTTCTTGACACTGGGTCATGCAGCTCGTTAACTCAGGGTGTGGCTGTTATGTTGGTGACAGCTTCTACACCTTAAACACTGGGTCATGCAGCTCGTTAACTCAGGGTGTGGTTGTTGTGTTGGCGACAGCTTCTACACCTTAAACTCTGGGTCATGCACCTCATTAACTCAGGGTGTAGTTGTTGTGTTGGCAACAGCTTCTTCACCTTAAACTAATTCACGCCTAGGTGGCCCCTGGGTCGGCCATCCTTGTTACGCGAGGGGAAACCATTATTGTTATTATTATTTATGGCGACGGGAATCCATTATATCGAGGGTCCGTTAGATATGAAACTTCCATCTAATGAACTATATAGAGATGACAGTCCATTATATCGAGGTCCACTGGATATGATAGTCCGTTATGTCGAGGGTCACAGAACAGCCCTGTCTCATTTAGTGTTACAGTACAGGACTAAAGAACATAATGAAAGAGAGAGAAAGAAGAGAGATAGAGAGAGAGAGAAGAGAGATAGAGAGAGAAAGAAGAGAGATAGAAAAGAGATAGAGAGATATAGAGAAAGAAGAGAGATAGAGAGAGAAAGAAAGAAAGAAGAGAGATAGAGAGAGAGAGTAAAGAAAATTCATAAAGCGATTTACTAGTCACAAGTGAGGTGACGCAGCCCTCAGCAAGACAACACACCACCGTCAGTGAGATCAACATACTCTCTTGAGGCAGTCAGAGCTTACCACTTCCTCCTCCTCCCCCCCTCCCCCCCATTATGGAAGGTACCTGTAAATGTGAAAGCTCCACCTTAGTCTCTGTCTTTTGGGCCTCAAAGTCATGTGTTTTTGTTCCTATTTTAGACCCATAATGTGTGCTAGTGCTATTACTGTACTAGGAATATGACACGACTGTGGAGGGAGAGTGTCGTGTGTTTGATGACGGAAGTGTTGAGGCAGGTAAGCGTGCACTTCAGTGTAAACACATATAGTGCTACAAGGGCCACTCTTGCCCGTTACTGTCGGTTCACATTGGTCGTCATAGAGGGTACATCGACGGTCTACTGGGCAAGCTTTTACCCACATGTTTTTCCATTGTTGCCCAGTATTTGAGTCATTATGTCTGATAACCCCGGACCAAACACCTAAATCTGGTATTGTACTTTGAAACGTTTAAATTTTGATTGGGGCAGATAACGTAAAAGTACATTTCTGTTTGTTTGTTTTTCCCTCAGAAGGTGCTCCTCATACGGGGGTATTTCATAAGATCTCATGATCCTAGGAGCTAAAGCCCTTAGGATTTTGAATTATGGAGTTTTTACTGTTGTGAAAATGTGCTAAAACATTTTTTTTCTCCTGCTTCCTGATTACTTCTTTTACTAACTTATTTCATTATTCTCAAAGACTCATGTTATTGTTAAGTCTACAAATAAACTTTCAGTGGCCTCATTCTCCTAGAGTCACCATATGATTTACTTCTCATACTAATTTACCTTATTTATGTAATGGTCACCCAAGCTAGAAGGCCAGTGGCCATTGTTCTTACTATTGTAGTCTTTTTTAGGGCTATATTGAAGCCCAGTAGACTGTTCCATTGGTCTACCACCCTCTGCTTGTAGAAATGTTTCCATATACTGTACAGTAGGCTCGCCACTTTTGCGGAATCTAGATTCACGCTTCACCACTTTCACTTTAGGTTCCAAATGTGCCCATCATTCAAATTCGCACACTTTTCACCACTTTTACGGTACACTATAGTAGAGCAGCATTGTGGGTCTGACGTCACAGCAGGAGAGCGTCGGCAGCAGCCATTGTTTACATCAAAGGAGGGTCTTGGGGTGGGTGGAATATACTGTGTGGTGGTCATACTCACAAACTCTAGGTCGAATCTAGGAATTATTGTACATACAGTACTTTAATTCTAAAAACACACACATTTTGAGTTTGGATTGATATATTATTGCATTAAATTATCATAAATTTTTCACATTGGTTCAGTGTGTTTTGTTGAGAGGTGTTGGTGGTACAGCAGTAACACACACAACTCATGTCAAAGGTGTGAGCCTGGGCCGGGACAAGGGTGTTATACAGTGTGACCCTCACTACCAAACATCACAGGTTTACCAGACTCCTGTACCGTCGATTATTATTATTATAGGAATATATTGTGAAATAGTTTAAGATGAATGCATTATGGGAGTATAATATGAAGTATATTAAGACCCTGTACAAGACCACGTTTGGGTGTGTAGCCCGGGAGAGGAGCTGGAGGACGTAGGAGGTCACCTGTGTCAGTCAACCCACAATCCTTTACAACAACTGTATTCAATTTCGCCATAATTCTCATATTATTTAGGTTCATTTAGTGCCATGTTAATAAAACATAAACGAAAAATAAATAATTTTTCCCCCCAAAATCCTAGACTCAACCCCTGATGAACTTTTGCGCCAGAGTCTATTCTCGGTCTGTTGTTTACAGAGCGGTTACAGCTGATCGTTAGTGGTACCCCTAACATTGTTGCCAGTACTCACCATCTCTCAAGCACTGCTGTTACTGCTCAAGATTTTGTCAAGATGTTTTAGTAAATTTAATAATAAATGACAAAAAATACTGTATATCCAGAGTTTGAGGCAGGTGGACTTGGGTGATTTATTGAGGAAAAGTGGAGGGTGGAAGTGGTTTGGGCCAGTTCCAATTGACCCTTTAATATGTAAACTATGCTCATCACTTTCCCGATTTTCACTTTCACGGTACAGTACTTTTCCCGGTACAAGATAGGCGCGAAGGTAGTGAGTTTACTATACCCCCTCCCCCCTTCTCCATACCCCAATAGTTTCTGACAACCCGCACTGATACTGTTACCAGAGACATGAAACTGTCCCTGTTACCGCGACTCACCTGCTCAAACATTTACGGTGTTCACAGTGTACACACGACTTTTGTGGCTGTCTGTACATAATGGTGTAATGATGCCTTTACCTGCAGTACAGTACATTACATTAAAGTACAATACAGTACAGTACAGTGCAGTACAGTACAGTACAGCACAGTATATCATGTGTAGAATTCCTGCAGATTGTTGCATTCAAATTATATTAATTGCTGCCAAAGGTAAGTGATAAACCCCTTATTAAGTTCTGTACTGTAGGTCTAGAATACTTTATTATTGTTATATTGTACCACCAAAGTTTATTTATTGCTGTCACATTTATGTTGAGATCAGAGACCATTTACCATGTAACTAGACTTCTTTAGAGTACTGTGTACTTACCCTACCACAGTGCCATGTCACTGACGCTGGCCACTGCTCTTTGTTGATTGCTGCTTGAATTATGCTGTTGGATGTCCAGTTTCCTCCAAGAACTTCTTAGAAAGGATGCAAGTATTTTTCTCCTGTGTCTTCCTCTTGTTCTCTTTCCTTCTGTTTTATCAACCACCATATTATTTTACACTATGTGATGATGTCTCCCGGCAGCTTCCTCTGTTATGTTTCTCTCACCATCTTCCTACAGCTGTATTAGTGGTAGTTGTTGTGATGCAATTGTTTTAAGTTCTCTGAGCCTCGGCATGTGTTTTATTACTGAAGGATTATGGTACAGGCAGTCCAGGCTTTATTAATAAAGCATGGACTGGGCTTGAGGGTAAACACAACAGTTTTAATAAATTTCTTTCTGATTATTTGTAAGAGGATTTTCCATTATTATTTATATGTATGTGTTTTGTGTGTGTCTATACACACACACACACACACACACACACATACATACACACACATATATATATATATATATACAGTACAGGTAAAAGAAATTACTGTCTGTAGAGCAAATGTCTCCCTGTCCCGGCCGTGAAATGCCAACAACTTTAAAACTACCCACAGACATTCTTGGGTACATCCAGGGTGTCATCCGCTAAGAATAGAGGACCGCAAAATAAAAATCCGCAAATTATCCGGTCGTACTGTATATGTAATTTAATGTTTACTCAGTTACATTCACACATAATCCAACACTCAGAATATGAAACAAAAAATACAAGAAATAATACAACATACAGTAACACATAGATCCTGTGTTGCATAAAGTGTTCTTTTATATAAACATCTGGCTGGTTGGGTAGTCAGCCGTTCATGCTATGTAAACAAAGCCACGGTAATTTAATACAACTCGGTAACTCGTCTGGGGTTGAGTGTGGGGCTCCTTTAGTGGCAGAATTGATTATTTAATGACACCAAATAAACCTAAATAACATGTGAATGGCGGTAAAATTGCATACTGTCATGTTAACGGGGTGGGAGGGGTGACTGGGCCTCCCGGGGCGAGGTTGGGTAGTATCTTAATAGTTTCAGCCTCCCCAGCCACCATACCTCTCATCTCTCCCACAAACAATTCACTTCCCATTCTTCATTTTTCCGGTTTTAAATTTGTATATAATTTTTATTTATTTATTTTTTTAAGCCACATTAGAGAATTGTATTACAGTACAGTATAGCAATTATTGGTATATAGGAATCTCGATTTATGCTATTATTACATTCTTGAAAATGGTTTTGTAAATAAAAAATGTGTAAATAGTTGGAGATTAAGAGATTTCATTATTAATTCAGTGAACCCTCACTTTACGCGATTAATTCAACCCACAGGGTACCGCGTAAAGTGAACGACATAACATATGGGATTGATTGAAATAGAGACCGGGCCGACCCCTAAACTCCACTTTTTCAGACACAATACCTACGTTGTAGTAAAAATAACTTCTTAATTTTATGATGGTATGCACACACAATTAATAATTAAGAGAAATATCAATAATATTAGGTTTTTTAACACTTACATTAGTAGAAAAGATGGCTGGGCACACGGGGATGGGCGGTTGGTTCCGAGGCAGAGGGCAGATTATTGGCCCTCACCTGTATCACTTGTATCAATTGTATCACTATCCACCTCAGAGGCTTGCAGGGCCTCTTTGTCAAACCCCTCAAAGTCCATATAAGTCCATATCCTCACTATAATTATCACTATCACTGACTTGGGCCGGCTGTAGTGGGTGGCGGGTGAAGAACTCGGTAATGTTTTGATGACTGGGCGACCTTGTGCGCACCATGCTCGCGCTGCTTACACAACATGGCGGATAGCGGGAGAGATGGCGGGAGGTTTGGATCCAAAAATGGCGCGGCTCGCCAGCCGCTCTCCGCGTAAAGGGGTACACGCACCGCAGAATGTGAGCATTCCGGTTTCGGCAGGGTACCGCGTAAACGTGGAAACGCGGAATGTGGGACCGCGTAAAGCGAGGGTTGACTGTATAACAGTACCTAGTGTTATATCAGTGTGCCACAAGCATGCTGACGGGAACATTTTTCAGAATTCGGTGTTTGACCCACGAGATCAACACTAGATCCATTCTTTCCATAATTGAACTTTGGGAAAATGGAGTCTTAGATACACTGACTCACCTCGGCACTCACCTTGATATTCTCTGCACGTGCAAGCTTATTATCAGCTGTTTGTTCACCTCATAACTTTTGAACACATCCCTCTTAATCTCAGGGGTGATGGCCTTATGCTTCTTAGATCCACTAGTACCTGGAGAATCTAAAGGACACTTAGGTGCCATGATATAAGGGGAAAAACACAGGTAGTAGGCAGCTACCAAACAGGGAGGTACTGGGAAGATATTGGAAGCATAATGTATTTTCTATGGTGGACCCTGCTGCCATATGTGACTAAGTCCTAGGTTGATGATCTGACTTTCTGCCTCATTTACACACAATTGTAGGGTCTCAATTGTTTCTCTTACAACACAACACAGGGACATATATCGTTTCTCACTAATGATCTTTTTTTCATTTTTGTATAATTTTATGGTTCTTTATTATTATTATTATTGTTATTATTATTTATTTTTTGACTTTGTATTTATAAATTTTAAATACTTCAAACTAATTAATATTATTAATGTCATTCTTATTACGTTTTTGCCCCCCAGGCCTCGATGTGGGTCAGTGACCTGTTCTCGGGTGGGCTAATCCCTGTAAAAAAAAACTATACACTGTACTGAAGAAAATACTGTAGCATTCTGTGACCTAACACCATACTGCCAATCTATGTCTCATTATTCCAAACATAAGCCTGTGTATATTATAGAAAAATGGTGTAAATAAAGTCATAGTGTTATTTTATAAATGGCATAAAACAAACAAATCAAGAGGTGTCTGTGTAGAAGTTTGATACAGGGAGGTAATACTTGTTTTAATTAGCCAAGATCAAATTATAAATATGAATTACAACACATCCATCAGTCTTTTCCCTTAGGCACACATCTCACAAAATGTTCAAATGAGTGTCTTTACTCAATTCCATTACTTTTTGGTTTTTAATTTAAATCCTCCCATTTTATGTTTCCCGGGTTTTATGTATCAATCCACACATTAAAACTGGGTCAAGAGACAGGATGACATACTGAGTCTCGCTACATGAAAGGAAACAGAGGTTATTAGGAGCCTTAGGAGCCTTAGTAAGTCAGGGAGGAGGAGAGCAGTCCCCTTAGAGAGTAGAATTCTAGAGGACTCAAATCTAGTGAACCTTCATGGATAATCAGCTTACTTCAAGGGCTCTATGGAACCTTGGTGAGTGTCCATTGTAAATTTTAACTTATGCTCTTCTTAGTTATGCTTCTTGATGTACGGTATTGGTGTAGAGTTTTCCTCCTCTAAGCTCCTGGTGTACAATACAGTATCAATGTAGAGCAGTGGTTCCATAACTGGGGGCGCAAGGTTGGTACAATGGGGGGGGGGAGTGTGAGGCCATGTGAACAAAATTTATGTCAAATTCAGCATTGTTCATGTACCTTAGTCTTCCCTATTCTCTATCCCTGCATCTTCCTCTCTATCCCATGTTCCTAGCCACCACTGCTTGCTTTTCACTTCAATGTCACATTTGCTTTTTGTTTCATTTTTTTGCTTTAATTATAATAACATGGATAGATATTTCTCTAGTGTGAGGGAAGATGACATAAATTGATTATAAAAAAGATGATGTGAGGGCTTGGTAAACACACAAAGGGGGCATCATGTGACCAAGCTTGGGAACCCCTGATGTTGAGTTTCCTTGTGTGAGCTGATGGTTACTGACCCGTGCAGCCAAAGGTTGGATCAAACTTGTGTACCATATTAATGTCTTGAGTTGGTTTAACTCATCAATATACTGATAACAACTGTTTGGGTGACAACTGTTACAGTACAGTACATAAAGTAGATTTAATGGGTGAGTGAAGGTAGAATCCCCTAGGCCTTTGTGTAGTAGTAAATAATACAGTATACTGTTAGGAATAAATCCAGTGAATTACCAGCATAGAGTAAAGTGTAGGGAATGGTTTATAATCAAGGGGTGGATGTGGGACTTATCTATGCTTACGTACACAGTCTATACTCTTATGGGTGAGTTGTGGTAAAAACTCCAATGCTGTATTGGAGATCTTCCAAATGAAAGCAAGCAAGAATAATACAGTACTGTACTTGTAGGTTTTATTATTGATAATAAAGTAGGTAATTGTCAATTATATTGTTTTTATTTTGTCCACAGGTAAGCTGAAGGATCTAGGTAATGTATTCCTTCGACCCTTTGGGCTGTCAACCTCAAACTTTGAACTCCAGCAAGACCCCAACTCTGGAGGATATAATATCAGTTTTAAGCAAAATTCTCCAAACAGCTAGTAGTGTGCACTTCAGTAATAGTTTTATTATTTAAAAATACATATATTTGAATATATAGAACAGGAATGTGGAGATTTGTGTGACTATATTTTGTTATGATAATGGTGCAACCTAGCAACTTTTTTTTCAGTGACTGAGATTTAAGAAGGAGTTAAGTGGAAGGTCTTTCTCATTTTTGTATAGGTTGATCATCTTGAAGTTTTGGTAGATGTATTAAGCTACTGAAGAGGGAGTAGTAGCTGTGTTGAACCTTACAAAGTATTACCAAAGACCTGTTGGCATTGCAATGTTTGACCAAATGTGGTTGATGAAAAAATGCTTATACTGTAACTCACTTATTTTGTCATGTCGTACAATTATGAATCTTTCATAAGTACTGTACTGATAGAGCTTCTGCCTCAGTGAAATTTCAACGTTTGGCCAGAATGATCCATCCTAACCTAACCTAACCATTAAGAATGGCAGTCAGTCCTAATGGGTGGGTTAGGTTAGGTTGGAACATACTGGGTCTTAGGCACATTTGGCTTGCCACCAAACTTGTGAATTAATACCAAGCATGCAAGTGTTATCTCTGATTTATAACATTAGACTCAGCAGTTAGTGTGTGGCTGTGGCTTATGTAGTGTGTGAAGCTTAAGGAAATGATTACATTTGGAGCTGTCACTTGTGTCTTTCACGAATGAACACACTCCCTGAAACACTGTAAAAACTTGAGTTATATACTCACTATAAGTATCTCTTTACCTGATTTATGCTCTTAAGTATACAGTACTGTACATGATACTGAAACATAGAAAAATAACTCTTTGTTTAATTGTTCGAGTAATTCAGAGAAAGTCTGACTTGCTTTATATTATTATTTGAAGGCAATTATATTGTTAATTATTTTTATATCTTGTGATTGTTAGATATAATGTACTGTACATATCTTGGGAGCTGTTTGTCTTGATAAAGGTTTAGCACTTATCCTGTAGAACATTTTGCCTACAGTTTTGCAGTTCTTTAATTTTAAGCCAAATTTGTATTATCCAGGGTAGAAGCTATTCTACACAGTTAGGGTATTCCACATCTTTGCACTTTAAATTATGCCAAGCCAAATAAAACACCAAAGCATCAATCAAACCTTATTTATTTGACCACCTACAACACAGTTCTGTCAGTGCTTGATGATAATTAACTACTGTACAGTATTAAGAGAAGAAATGATGACTGAATCTTGTAGTGTGTGTAATAATAATAAGCGGTTTATTAATAGAGTTGCAGCCGGTGACTGAAAATATACAAACTTAGACATGATTTAGACATAATGATATTCATTTAATACATTTACAGGGCTGTACAGTACATAAATCAGTTGTTGTTTATTATTTTAACAATAGATGGGATGGTGCTATTCTTAAATATATCAGTGTAGGTTCTTATGGGCTGAATTTTGTTGTAGTGGCGGACTGCACGAGGTGGGTGGGGGACTGCCGGTGGCAGGAGGTGGCAATGACAAGGATGGTGCAGTAGTCCACTGCCAAACCTTGCTAGTGCTCTGTGGTGGAGGTCACTGAGGGATGGCATTTCCAGGGTGGAGAGAGCGTTGTAGCGTGTGTGTGTGTGTGTGTTAGAGAGAAAAAGAAGAGTTTTTTTAGTTTAACAAATTTATTGACAAAGCTTGTAGTACAGTTTGGCTATTCTGAGTAATTCAGTCAGGTCTTGACACTGAGGGTGGTATCACTTCTCACTGCCACGCAGGACAGAGGTTCATACACAAAGAAATACATCATATTCATTAACAGCTATATATGTATAGAGGTCAGATTCATGTGGGTAATGTCACTGTTCACTACCCTGCCAGGTGCGGCCCTTCCCAGGAGCTCTATAGCTTCCTTGGTCGTGGTGTCGTACATAATGCATACGTCCAGCATTACCTTACTTAACTGTGATTGGTGGAGTAAAATGTAAATCCACCAAATTACAGCCACTAGGGGAACAGTACAGTCAGTCAGCACAACACCTCAACTTATATTTTCCTTTTGGATATCTATTCTCCTTTACATTATTCAGGATGAGATGATACTAGAAATGCAATGGACAGTGTATTTACTTAACGTCATATCTCCCAGAGTTCTAATTAGTGCAAAAACAACTACCCCCTGGAGCCCTCAAATAACGGCGGCGATTCTAAGGACTTTCCAGGCGTGGCGGCGTCAGCAGGCGTCCTCACGAGTGGCCATCCCAAGGTCGGTGGCGCATCCAGCGAACCCTGCCAGGGACGCTGGCGCCCCTATGGGCTCTCACAGAGAGAGGGGCGCTCCCTGGGGGCCCTCCAAGAGATGTCAGCGCCCCTAGGTACCCTGCCTTGGACGCGAGCGCCCCCAAGGGCTCTCTCATATATGTCGGCGCCCTCAGGGGCTGTGCTAGGAGGGCTGGCGCCCCCAGGGGCTCTGGTAAAGCTGCTGGCGCCTCCAAGGTCTCTCCCAGGGATGGTGGTGCCCCACGGGCTCTGTCAGTGACAGGAGTGCCCCCAGGGGCTCTCGGAGGGGCCATCTCAGGTGTGGTGGCACCCCCAGGGGCCATCCCATAGACAGCGGCGCTTGTAGGGACAGCGGCGCTCTCAAGGGCCCTCCCAGGGACGGCGGCGCCCCCAGGGGCTCTCCCATGGCCACAGGCTCCCCCAGGCGCTCTCCCAGGGAAAGCGGCGCTCCCAGAGGCACTCCCAGGGATATCAGCCCCCCAGGGGCCTCCCAGAGACGGTAGTGCACCCATGGACCCTGCCATTGATTGTGGAACTCCCTTGGACCCTCCCAGGTACTGCGTTGCTTCCTGGGGCCCTGCCAGGGGCTCTGGCGCTCCCAGGGGCTCTCTCAGGGACAGCGGTGCTTCAAGGAGCCCTTTCAGTGGCATTGGGGCTTTGAAGGGCCCTCCCAGACCCGGTGGCGGCCCTAGGAGCTCTTCCAGGAAGAGCGACGCTTCCAGGGGCCCTCTCAGTTGCGGTGGGACCCTCAAGGGCAATGCCAGGGACTGCGGCGCACCCAGGGGTCCTCCAAGGAATATAGGCACCCCCAGGGGCTCTCCCTGGGACAGCGTTGCTTCCAGGGGCCATGCCAGAGACAGTAGAACTCCCAGGGGCTCTCACTAGGATTGCGGCGCCCCGAGGATCTTTCCCAGGGATATCAGCGCTCCCAGGGGCTTTCCCAGGAACCGTGGCGCTTTCACGGGCCTTTTAGGGACCATGAGGCCTCCAGGAGCCTCTCCAGGGACGGCAGGGCTACCAGGGGCTCTCCCAGGGACACGGGCGTTTTCAGAGGCAGTGGTGGCGCCCCGAATGGCCATCCCAAGGACGGTGTTGCATCTAGCGACCCTGCCAGGGGCGCTGGCTCCCACAGGAGCTATCCCACAAACAGCGGCAATCCCAGGGGCCCTCAAGGGATATCTCAGGGACTCCAACGCCCTCCAGGGGATCTCCCAAGGACAATGGTGCTCCTAGGGGATCTTCCAGGGGCTCTGGACACCCAAGAGCTCTCCCAGGTCCATCGGTGCGTCCAGGGGTTATCCCAGGGACAGCTGCGCTCTCAGGAACATTGGCACTCCCAGAGACCCTCTTTGGGGCTTTAGCAACCCCAGGGGCTATGGCATGAGCGTGGGAGCCCCCAGTAGCCTTCCCAGGGACCGGCGCATCGAGGAACCCTGTTAGGGGTGCTAGCGCCCTCAAGGGCTCTCCCAGGAACAGAGGCACCCCCAAGGGTTCTTCCAAAGATAGCAGTGCTCCCAGGGGCTCTGCCATGGAAGGTGGCGCCCCCATGTACCCTGCGAGGGGCGCTAGCTCCCCTAGGGGCTCTCCCAAGGACAGCAGAGTTTCAAGGGGCCCTTCCAGGGACTGGGGTGCCCCCAGGAGCTGTCCCATGCGGACAGGATCCCCCAGGCACTCTCCCAATGTGAACGGTTTTTCCAGAGGCCCTCCCAGGGACGTCAGCCAACCGGGGGCCCTCCCAGGGACGTCAGTCAACCGGGGGCCCTCCCAGGGACGGCAGCAACCCCAGGGGCCCTGTCATTGGCTGTGGTTCCCTCTGAGGCCTTCCCAGGGACTGCGTTCGCCTCCTGGGGCCCTGCCAAGGGCGCTGGCGTCCCTAGGGGCTCTCTCAGGGTAGCGGTGCAAAGACAGTGGCACTCCTTGGGGCTCTCCCAAGGACGGCGGGGCAACCAGGGACTCTTCCTGGGACACCGGCGTTCCCAAAGCATTACCAGGAACGGCGGCGCCCCCAGGGGTCTTCCCATTGACGGCACAGCCATACCCCCCAGGGGCACTTTTCAGGTACGGTGGCATCCCCAGGGGTTCTGCCAGGACCGCTGACACACCAGGGCCTCTCCCAGGGACAGCGTCGCTTCCAGGGACCCTCGCAGAGACAGCGGCGCTCTCAGGGACATTCCCAAGGACGGCAGCGCCGCCAGGGGATCTCCCTGGGACAGTGGTTCTCCCAGGGACAGCGGCGCCCCAAGTAGCTCTCCCAGGGACAGGGTTGCCTACAAGGGCCCTCCCAAGGACGGCAGCGCCCCGAAGGACACTTTGAGGGGTGGTGGCGCCCTCCTGGGGCCGTGTCAGGGGCACTGGCGCCCCTATGGGTTCTCCCAGAGACAGCAGCGCTTCCAGGAGCCCTCCCAGGGGTCCTCCCAAAAACAGCGACGCCCTTAGGGACCCTGTCAGAAGCGCTAGTGCCCCAAAGGCTCTCCCAGGGGCCATCCCAGGGACGGCCACGATCCCAGGAGGCATGTCAGGGGCGGCAGATCCGTCAGGGACCCTCTCAGAAGCTGTGGAGCCCCCAAGGTGCCCTTCAAGGGCTCTGGCCCCCCCCCAGAGACCATACCAGGGGAGCCCCAGACGCCATACCCCGGACGCACCCCTGGGCCCTAAGAAGTGCGCCCCTTCCCAGGAGCTCTATAGTTTCCTTGGTCGTGTTGTCCTACATAATGCATACGTCCAGCAATCCCTTACTTAACTGTGATTGGTGGAGTAAAATGTAAATCCACCAAATTACAGCCAATAGGAGAACAGTACAGTCAATCAGCACAACACCCCAACTTATGTTTTCCTGTTGGATATTTATTCTCCTTTACATTATTCAGGAGGAGATGATACTGGAAATGCAATGGACAGTGTATTTATTTAACGTCATATCTCCCAGAGTTCTAATTAGTGCAAAAACAACTACCCCCTGGAGCCCTCAAATAATGGCGGCGATTCTAAGGACTTTCCAGGCGTGGCGGCGTCAGCAGGCGTCCTCACGAGTGGCCATCCCAAGGTCGGTGGCGCATCCAGCGAACCCTGCCAGGGACGCTGGCGCCCCTATGGGCTCTCACAGAGAGAGGGGCGCTCCCCGGGGGCCCTCCAAGAGATGTCAGCGCCCCTAGGTACCCTGCCAAGGGCGCTAGCTCCCCTAAGGGCTCTCTCATGGATGTCAGCGCCCTCAGGGGCTGTGCTAGGGGGGCTGGCGCCCCAGGGGCTCTGCTAGAGGTGCTGGCGCCTCCAAGGTCTCTCCTAGAGACGGTGGCGCCCCACGGGCTCTCTCAGTGAAAGGAACGCCCCCAGGGGCTCTCGCAGGGGCCATCTCAGGTGTGGTGGCACCCCCAGGGGCCATCCCAGAGATAGCGGCGCTTGTAGGGGCAGCGGCGCTCTCAAGGGCCCTCCCAGGGACGGCGGCGCCCCCAGGGGCACTCCCATGGCCACAGGCTCCCCCAGGCGCTCTCCCAGGGAAAACGGCGCTCCCAGAGGCACTCCCAGGGATATCAGCCCCCCAGGGGCCTCCCAGAGACGGTAGTGCACCCAGGGACCCTGCCATTGGTTGTGGCGCTCCCTTGGGCCCTCCCAGGTACTGCGTTGCTTCCTGGGACCCTGCCAGGGGCTCTGGCGCTCCCAGGGGCTCTCTCAGGGACAGCGGTGCTTCAAGGAGCCCTTTCAGTGGCATTGGGGCTTTGAAGGGCCCTCCCAGACCCGGTGGCGGCCCTAGGAGCTCTTCCAGGAAGAGCGACGCTTCCAGGGGCCCTCTCAGTTGCGGTGGGACCCTCAAGGGCAATGCCAGGGACTGCGGCGCACCCAGGGGTCCTCCAAGGGATATAGGCACCCCCAAGGGCTCTCCCTGGGACAGTGTTGCTTCCAGGGGCCATGCCAGAGACAGTAGAGCTCCCAGGGGTTTTCCCAGGAACGGTGGCGCTTCCAGGGGTTTTTCAGGGACCGTGAGGCTCCCAGGAGCCTCTCCAGGGACGGCAGGGCTACCAGGGGCTCTCCTAGGGACACCGGCGTTCCCAGAGGCACTCCCAGGGGCGGTGGCGCCCCGAATCGCTATCCCAGGGACGGTGGTGCATCCAGCGGCCCTGCCAGGGGCGCTGGCTCCCACAGGGGCTATCCCACGAACAGCGGCAATCCCAGGGGCCCTCAAGGGAAATCTCAGGGTCTCCAGCGCCTTCCAGGGCATCTCCCAGGGACATTGGCGCTTCTAGGGGCTCTTTCAGGGGCTCTGGACACCCAGGAGCTCTCCCAGGGACATCGGCGCGTCCAGGGGTTATCCCAGGGACAGAAGCGCTCTCAGGAACATCGGCGCTCCCAGAGACCCCTCTTTGGGGCTTTAGCAGCCCCAGGGGCTATGCCATGAGCGGTGGAGCACCCAGTAGCCTTCCCAGGGACCGGCGCATCTAGGAACCCTGTTAGGGGCGCTAGCGCCCCCAGGGGCTCTCCCAGGAACAGAGGCACCCCAAGGGTTCTTCCACAGACAGCGGTGCTCCCAGGGGCTCTGCCATGGAAGGTGGCGCCCCCATGTACCCCGGGGGGGGGCGCTAGGTCCCCCAGGGGCTCTCAAAAGGAGAGCGGTTTTTCAAGGGGCCCTTCCAGTGACTGGGGTGCCCCTACGACCTGTCCCGTGCGGACAGGATCCCCCAGGCACTCTCCCAGTGTAAACGGTGCTCCCAGAGGCCCTGCCAGGGACGTCAGCCAACCAGAGGCCCTTCCAGGGACGGCAGCACCCCCAGGGGCCATGCCATTGGCTGTGGTTCCCTCTGAGGCCTTCCCAGAGACTGCGTTCGCCTCCTGGGGCCCTGCCAGGGGCGCTGGCGCCCCCATTGGCTCTCTCAGGGTAGCGGTGCAAAGACAGTGACGCTCCTTGGGGCTCTCCCAGGGACGGCGGCGCCCCCAGGGGTCTTCCTATTGACGGTACAGCCACACCCCAGGGGCACTTTTCAGGTATGGTGGCGTCCCCAGGGGTTCTGCCAGGGGTGCTGGCACACCAGGGGCTCTCCCAGGGACAGCGTCGCTTCCAGGGACCCTCGCAGAGACAGCGGCGCTCTCAGGGACATTCCCAAGGACGGCAGCGCCGCCAGGGGATCTCCTTGGGACAGTGGTTCTCCCAAGGACGGCGGCGCCCCGAGGGACACTTTCAGGGGTGGTGGCGCCCTCCTGGGGCCATGTCAGGGGCACTGGCGCCCCTATGGGCTCTACCAGAGACAGTGGCACTCCCACGGGCCCTCCCAGGGGTCCTCCCAGAAACGGCGACGCCCTTAGGGGCCCTGTTAGGTGCGCTTGTTCCCCAAGGGCTCTCCCAGGGGCCATCCCAGGGGCCATCCCAGGGACGGCCGCGATCCCAGGAGGCGTGTCAGGGGCGGCAGATCCGTCAGGGACCCTCGCAGAAGCTGTGGAGCCCCCAAGGTGCCCTTCAAGGGCTGTGGCCCCTCCCAGAGACCATACCAGGGGAGCCCCAGACGCCATACCACGGACGCCGCCCGGGGCCCTCCCAAGTGCGCCCCCTCCCAGGAGCTCTATAGCTTCCTTGGTCGTGGTGTCGTACATAATGCATACGTCCAGCATTCCCTTACTTAACTGTGATTGGTGGAGTAAAATGTAAATCCACCAAATTACAGCCAATAGGAGAACAGTACAGTCAGTCAGCACAACACCCCAACTTATGTTTTCCTTGTAATGGGCCCCTGTCTCATCAACAGAACTTATTATATAAATATTATATATATATTATATTCAGATTCACCACCCTGTAACTTTCCACTGGCTATGAGGTGACATGTTCAATGCACGTGATAAGGTGTGCCCACGGGAAGCTGCGTCATACTATGCTGAGTCAAGGCATAAGTAGCCGGCTCTCTGGCCACCTGAAGCGAGCAGTAGTTTGATATCCTTGACTAGAGGAAGACGTTATTTGAGAGCCGCAGTGGATGGCTCCGTCTTCCCTCGAGGGGGAACGACGTACCCATACCGTTCTCCCTCGATGGGTCACTACTCATGAGTCGCTCACAGAAAGTAATATCGTAAGGACGTGACCTAACGTTTATAATACATAAACGCCGTCCCTTTCTCATTCACTCCTAAACAGTGGAACTTACGGTCGATCTACACTCAGGAATTATATATACAACCCTTTTATAATAAAACAAGGAACTACCGTTTGGGTTTCGTTACTTAAACCCAAATAATAAATATATGTGAACGGCCTGGTTAATTGCACAAGCAGCCGATTCATCCTGTTGGATATTTAATCTCCTTATTGAGGATGAGATGATACTAGAAATGCAATGGACAGTGTATTTATTTAATGTCATATCTGCTAGAGTTCTAAATAGTGAACAAAAAACTGCCCAGGGGCTCTCGAATAGCGGCTGCGATTCTTGAAGCCCTCCCAGGCGTGGCGGCGCCCGCGAAGGACCTCCAAGGAGCGGCAACGTCCAATTGGCCCTGCCAGGGACAGCATCCCAAGTATAGCCCTGGGGTGCACCACCATCAGTGGGAGGCCTTGGGACTGCTGCTGTCCCTAGCAGGGCACCTGGGTGCGCCACAGTTCCTGGGAGAGCCCTGGGAGGACCCTTAGGAGCATCGCTGTCCATGGGAGAGCCCTTGGGCGCGCTTCTGTCCCTGTGAGAGCCCCTGGGAACGTCACTGTCCCTGGCAGAGCCCCTGGGGGTGGCAGACCCTGTGGGCGCCGCGCCTATCCTGGGAGGGCCCCTTGTAGCATCGCTGTACATGGGGAGAGCCCCTGGGGTGTCGATGTCCCTGAGAGCCCCTGGGGGCGCTCGCGACCTAGCAGCCTGGATGCACCACTGTCCCTTGAAGGCTCAGGGGTCTCCACCGTCCATGGCATAGCCCTGGAGTCACCACCAAGGTCCCTGGGGCGCGGCTATAAATATCCAAAGGGAAAACATAAGTTTGGGTGTTGTGCTGACTGACTGCACTGTTCTCCTATTAGCTGTAATTTGGTGGATTTACATTTTACTCCACCAATCACAGTTAAATGACGGAATGCTGGACGTAAGCATTTTGGCAGACACCACGACCAAGGAAGCTATAGAGCTCCTGGAAGGCCGCACCTGGCAGGGCACCGGGATGGGGGAGGCGCCAGTGGTATAGCGTCTAGGCTCCTGGTATGGTCCCTGGGGGCGCCACAGCCCATGTGAGGCCCTAGGGTCACCACCGCCACTGAAACGGCCCTTGACGGCGCCTCTGTCCGGAAGGCCCCTGGGGTTCCTGTCTCTGGGAGAGCCCTGGGCGCTGCCGTCACTGGGAAGGCCCCTGAGAGTTCTGTTGTCTCTGCAAGGTTTCTGAGAGTGCTGTTGTCCCTGGAAGGGGCCCTGCAGGCGCTGCTGCCCCTGAGAGAGATCGTGGGGCGCCATCGTTCTTGGGAACGCACCCGTCCCTGTCGTAGCCAGTGGAATCGCGCTGTCCCTGGGAACGCCGCTGTCAGTGGGAGAGCCCCTGGAGCGCCAGCGCCTCTGGCAGGTCCCAGGGAGCGCCACTGTTCCTGGCAGGATCCCTGGGATGCCGCTGTCCCTGGGAGAGCCCTGGGAGTGCTGCTGTCCTTGGGAGAGCCCCTGGGGTCTCTAGCGCCCCTAGCAGGGCTCCTTGATGCACCGCTGTCCCCAGAACAGTCCTTGGGGCGCCAACACCTAACAGGGCCCCTGGGGTGGCGCCGTCCTGGGGACGCCACTGTCCTGCTAGAGCACCTGGTATGTTCATCGTCCCTGCGAAACCCTGGGAGCGCAGCTGTCCCTTATGGACCCTGAGAGCGCCGCTGTTCCTGGAAGAGCCTGGGGCGCCCTGGTAGGGCTGGAGCACCGCTGTCTTTGGGAGAGCCCGTGGGTGCTGCTCTCGTGAGAGCCCCTGGAAGTGCTGTTGTCCCTGGGAAAGCCTCTTGGGGCGCTAGCACCCTTGCAGGGCCCCTGGATGCCTTCGCTGTCTGGGGCTCCTGGGCACTCCACGCCCATGGCATGGCCGCTGGGGGCACCACCGCCCATATTAGATCCCTGAGAGCGCCGATAGGGCCCCTGGGAGCGCCGTTGTCACTGGGAGAGCCCTGGGGGCGCCAAAACCACTGGCAGGGTCCCTAGGGCCCCACGGTTCATGGGAAGGCCTGGGGGCGCTGTCCCTGGGAAAGCTTCTGGGAGCGCTAGTGCCTCTGGCAGGGAGCCCCTTCGGGCGCCACCAGCCCTAATACGGAATATGGGGCCTGGGAGAGAACCCGGGGGCGTCCCTGATCGTGGGAGGGTCTCTAGTGATTTCCCTTGGGAGCACTGCACTCCTCGGAGAGCCCCTGGGGGCGTCAACACCCCTGGCAGACCCCTTCCGGATTGCTGTCGTCACCTGGAAGAACCCGGAGGCAACCCTGTCCCTGGGAGAGCCCCAAGGGGCGCTGCCGTCACTGGGAGTGCCCATGGGACGCCTGCCGTCCCAGGTAGGCCCCTGGGAGAGACGCAAGGGGCGCTGCCGTTACTGAGAGTGCCCTGGGACGCCACCGCCCCTCGGATGGCCCCTGGGGGCCAGGTGCCCATGGAAGAGCCCCTGGGGATACCGCCGTCCCTGGAGTGCCTCTAGGGATGTCCCTGGGAGAGCCGTGGTGGCCCTGCCTTCCCTGAGAAGGCTCTTGGGGCCTCGCGGTCCCTGCCAAAGCCCTGGAAGTGCCACCGTTCCTGGGAAAGCCCCTGGGAGCGCCTATGTCCCAGGAAGGATCCTCGGGGCGCCACAGTCCTAGAGAGCCCTGGGGACTCTACTGTCCACGACATGGCCCATGGAGAGTGACTGTCCCTGGTTGAGCCCCTGGGGGTGCCTATATCCTTGGATAGCCCTGGGTGCGCCCTGTCCCTCTGAGATCCGCTGGGGTTGCCGCCGTCCCTGGGAAGGCCTCTGAGTGCGCCGCAGTCCCTGGCATTGCCCTTGGTGCCACCCAACTGAGAGGGCCTGGGCGTCTCTCTTCCTGGAAGAGCCCTGGGGGCCGCCACTGGGTCTGGGGAGGGCCCCTCGAAGCCTCAATGCCACTGAGAGGGCCCCTGGGAGCGCCGCCTTCTTGGTATTGGCCTGTGGGAGGGCTCCTGGGCACCGCTGTCCCTGAGAGAGCCTCTGGGGCGGTAGCGCCCTGGCGGGCCCCAAGAAGCAACGCAGTACCTGGGAGGGCCCAGGGGGCGCTACAATGGCGGGTTCCCTGGGTGCTACCGTCGCTGGGAGGCCACTGGGGGCTGAATCCCTGGGAGGGCCTCTGGGAGCGCCGCTTTCCTGGGAGAGCGCCTGGGGAGCCTGTGGCCGCGAGAACCCCTGGGGGCCTGCGGCCAGGAGAGAACCCCTGGGGCGCCGCCGTCCCTGGGAGGGCCTTGAGAGCGCCGCTGCCCCTACAAGCGCCACTGTCTGGGATGGCCCCTGGGGGTGCCATCACACCTGAGATGGCCCCTGCTAGAGCCCCCTGGGGAGCTCTGTCACTGAGAGAACCCGTGGGGCGCCACCATCCCTGGGAGAGCCCTTGGAGGCGCCAGCACGTCTAGCAGACCCCTGGGAGCACCGCTGTCCCTGGTATTCCTCCTGGGAGCGCCGCTGGAAGAGCCCCTGGGGTTGTGCAGTCCATGGGAGGGCCTCTGAGCACCAATGTCCTGGGAGATCCCCTGGGAGCGCCTTCCTCCCTGGGAACCCTTGAGCACCACTGTCCTGGAAGAGCCCCTGAGGTTTCAGAATCTATCAGAGCCCTCAGGGCGCCAGCCTCCCAGCAGAGCCCTCTGAGGGCACCGCCATCCATGAGAGCCTTGGGGCGCTAGCGCCCATGGCAGGGAAGCTGGGGCGCCGACATCTCTGGGAGGCCCTTGAGAGTGCCGATGCCACTGACAGGGCTCCGGGAGCGTCGCTGTCTCTGGGAGATCCCATAGCGCCAGCGTCCCTGGGATGGCCACTCGGGAGGAGCCGCTGGCGCTGCCACGCCTGGAGGGTCCTAAGAATCGCCGCCGCTATTTGTGGCCCCGGTGACATTTGTTTTTGCACTATTTAAAACGTTAAATAAATACACTGCCCATTGCATTTCCAGTATCATCTCCTCCTGAACAATGTAAAGAAGAATAAATATCCAACAGGAAAACAAAAGTTGAGGTGTTGTGCTGACTGACTGTACTGTTCTCCCTATTGGCTGTAATTTGGATTTACATTTTACTCACCAATCAGAGTTAAGTAAGGAATGCTGGACGTAAGCATTATGTACGACACCACGACCAAGGAAGCTATAGAGCTCCTGGGAGGGGGCGCACCTGGTAGGGCACCGGTGGGTGCACATGGTATTGCGTCTGGGAGCTCCCCTATGTATGGTTTTTGGGGCGCCACAGACCCGAAGAGGCCACTGGTGGAACCACCGCCCTGGAGCACGACGGCCACACATGCCCCTGATATGGCTCCTGGTAGCACGGCTGTCCATGGGAGGCCCCTGGCAGATCCCTGTGCGCTAGCACCTCTGACGGGGACCTTGAGGGCGTTGCCGCTTCTGGTGGACCCCTGGACACTCAGATCTCCCAAGAGGACCCCTGGGAGCACTGCTATTCCTGAGATAGCCATAGGCGCTGCCCTTGGCACGGCCCGAGGGGCGCCACCACCCCTGGTAGCGCCCCCTCAAGGCGGCTGCGTCCTGGGAGCGCCCATGGAGGCAGTCCTGTCCCTGGAAGAGCCCCTGGGGCGCTAATGTCCATGGAGGGCCTTGGGGAGCGCCCCTGTCCATGGGTGATTCCTGGACGCGCCAGTTTAAATGTGAGAGTTCTTGGTTGGCAGCGCCTCTGGAAGAGACCCTCAGAGCGCCACTGTCTCTGGAGATCTACTCCTGAAAGTAGATTATTTACTTATGGAAAAGTAGATTATCCACTTTTCAGGAAGTAGATGATCTACTTTTCAATGGTAATTACTAGCCATTTATGGGTTTCCCAGCTGAGATTTTTGGCGTTTTTGTGTTCTTCTGGGAAGTAATTAATTGGTTAAAACCCCTCAAATAACAATTCCGAGAGAAAAGTCTATTTGGGCTTCAAAAAAAAATTACTTAGGTATAAGACTTATGTGTTTTCGGCCAAAATTTTTTACATTTTGCTGAAAATCTTCAGTATTTCCTGAGCACGCCGGATTGCACACCCATGATCCTCGTTTCATCCGGTAGAGTAATTAGTGGCCTTAATGGTGAGGCTTGCAGTTACTGGAAGAAAACTATTACAAGCAATATATTTACGACTTTTTTTTCTGACCTATTTCTTAGAAAGCAGCAGGGAGCATCTGCTCTACTCACAGTACATTAAGGCAAATCCTGGGAAACAGCAGTTTAATGCTTAAAGGAGCAAAGCAGTTGGGTTTACACAGGAAGAGAGTGGATGAAATAAGGAATATTGGAGATTTAATGATGGAAAAGACAAATTGAGAGAATGGGATGTAAGACTGATAAGTGTGTGTAGGAGGAGAGATGGAAGGGTGGAGTGGAGGCTGCACTAGAAGGTAGAGGGGAAGGAAACATCTAAAAGCAAGCAGTGATGTGTGTATGAAGGGAGTGGATGGGATATGGTCGTGGATTTGGGAAAGACATGTATCTGGTGGTTAATGTTGACTTGTGAGGTAACACTCTACGTGGGTGGATAAAGTATTACAATTGGTATACATCTCTTGGTCCACCAGGTAGTGTGACTATTGAATGAGAGTAAAAGACAAAGTGATTTTTAATTTTGTCACTGCATATACCAAAAAAAGATTACTATTTTTTTGCATAATAAAAAGGATTGTATTCATTTTACAGGTAGAAACAGAAAAATATTCAATACAGAGAGGATATAATATAACTTGTTTCCAGATGTTACACAAGCACAATCAAGATAGACGAGAAAAATGACTCAAGACTCATGTGAAAAAGATGAATCTGCTCAAATAAGTGTATCTACTCAATGACTGATTTGAGCCTCGCAGGACATTAGTTGGGTCCACCCCACGACTCCACATTGGGGCCTGATGGGGTGAAAATAAGAAAAAAAAAAGAAAAGAAACGATAATTATAAGTTAGAAGGCAAGTAAGAGAAACAATTAAACCCTGCACTTTTATGTAAATGTGAGCCAGAAAGCCAGATTCGGCAACCCGGGACTGGTCTTAATATTTGTGAAGCCATATGGCAAAGAATGTATACCATTAGACAGCACATTGTGCTTTCAATATCTTTCCAGGCAGGTAGTACTGTACTGCTGTTTGATTGCTGCATTAAATATGTCTACCATGGAGCAAATACTACAAAAATTTTAACAGTCTATTGAAAGTTTATCTAGTGACTACAGTAGACATAGTGTAAGAGTGAGGGAAGAACATGCTATATTGTGTTATTATGGAAGGACTTCCAGTGACACAGGAAGAAAACTTATTGACTCTGGCTAGTGAGTGAGGGAATGACTTGGACCAATTAATGAGGCAGAGGTGAGTGCTATAGGAACATTCCTTTTATTTTTTTAGTAGCGAAACGTATCTCTTTATTTCAAATAAATGCAAATCCCATAAATTCTAACGTCATACCCTAGTTCTCCCGTAGACGAAGTATGAGAGAATTATTAACTGTTGTATTTTTAGCTTAACTGAGGTAATAATAGCTGCATTGCCTCATCATTTAAAATACAAGAAAAAATTGCCAAAAAAGCTTCCAGCCTCCCATGTTCTTCAGCCTATTCCTCACTCTAATGTAGGAGTGAGAAGGACTGTGATGTGTGTAGGAGGAGGGGAAGGACTCTAGGATGTAGGGAGTGAGGGAAGGGCTCTGTGGATGTGTAGGAGGGAAGGCTCAGGATGTGCAGGAGTGAGGGAAGGACTCTGTGATGTAGGAGTGAAGGACTCGATGTGCAGGAGGAGGGAAGGACTCTGTGATGTGTAGGAGGGAAGGACTCTCTGTGATGCAGGAGTGAGGGAAGGACCAGATGTGTAGGTGGAGGGAAGACCCTGTGATGTGCAGGAGTGAGGGAAGGACTCAGGATGTGTAGGGAGGGAAGGACCCTGTGATGTGTAGAGTGAGGGAAGGACTCCTGTAGGATGCAGAGTGAGGGAAGGACCTGGTGATGTGGTGAGTGAAGGACTCTGTGATGTGCAGAGTGGGGAAGGACTCTGTGATGTG